TTAATCCTTAGAGTGGCCTTTAGCATAAGGAATGGTGGTTATAAGGATTGATGAACCTAATGCTTCTATTGCTGGTACAAAAGACGGTTTGAATATTTCACCCACAAAATATACAGTTAATTCTCTTTACAATAAATCCTTTCACGCACCTCTTGTACATAATATGTAAATCTATAGTTATTAACAAGTTTTTTTTCAATATTAATTGCTGAAAACAAACATTGGGAATTTTAATCTGTCTAATAGTCACTGGGTCTAATTAGCTACAGGTAATAAAACCAACTCAAAGCCTCTGTGTTTTTTGTGAATGGCACAGATGTATCTTAGTCCATAATAAATTTGTTGAATATTAGGACAGAAATGTGCTCCCGTGCAAACACTGGACGTGTTGTGATGATGTGGCAGGAACGCAATCTTGTGCTTTGTCGAATAATATGTCTGGCTTGATTGTTGTTTTCTGTGGCATTTTCACTGTTACTGATGTTGTAGCTAGTGCAGGTCACAGAAGCTGCTGCCACACACAGCCCGTTATCTCCTGAGGCTAGATTCAGTCCGAGGAAGCCAAGAGTGTCTTCTGAATGAAAACTGAAAGGCTGTGAATAGTATGGGGCCTTGACAGACCAGCTAAATATGCCTTATTCATTTACAATTAATTTGCCAAGATAATTACCCATTTGTCTACTTTTCTATAGAGAATTTTCTGCTATGTTCCAGTTAATATTTTGTAGCAGGCAAGTCGAGGATTGTGCCTGGTGGAAGTTTTGATCCACTATAATTGGAAATTGCTGGGCAACTGCACCCAAAGCCGTTATTGTTTTGCCTGCAGATTCCAGTAAGCTTTGCAGCAGTAAAGAAGTAGGACATGTGGCATTTCTATCTGGTTTCAGACTCATTTGATTGGGGTTTTCCATGTTCACGATCTTTCAAGAGTTGCACAAAACATTATCTGATGTGGGAAGCCAAATTGTTGGTCATACAGACTTTGGCTGCTGTGTTGAGTCAGGCAGAGTTTACTTTATCTTCCTCTGAACTCTTACTGTAATGCTGACAGAGTGCTGGCCTGAAATTCCTTTTTTTACTTCTGTGGCCACATTGCTAACTAATTGCATTTTGTGCGTTGTGCCTTTTTGCTTCTCTGCAGAGATGTTTCACTAATTCCACTAAATGTCTTCTGATAGGGAGACGGCAGAATCTGTTAGAATAAAATGTTGCTGCTGCTTTGTGCAGTTAATTCAGTTCACAGTTTAAATCAACTTGAAATCTAGTCTGTCCAGAAATGCTGTATATTCTGTCTTGATTCATAGAACAACAACTTGCACTTATATAGTGAATCAGAGTGCTTGAAATTACATGGAATGCTGCAAATACAAATTTACATCATCTATACAGTGCCTTTCGTGTCAGGATGACATTACAAACACTGACTGGGCCCTCAAGCTGAGGTTGCAGCTGGGGGGGTGGGAGGGGAAACCTGACAAAAACCATACTCAAAGAGGTAGGTCAACGAAAGAGGCCATTTGACCCAAATACTCTGTGCCAGTGTTTTATTCTCCACATGAGCTACCATCTCTCCTACTTGTCTCTCCTATATGCCCACAAAGACCTGAGTTCAATTCCAGGCAGGGCGAAACCTTGGGCAAGTTTCCTTACTCCACACGCCTAATAATAATCCCTCCAAAAACAATAATAAATTGGTCATTTTCAATCTACGACTGTTTGTGGGACAGTGCTGCGCGCAATTGGCTGCCGCGTTCGCCCACAAATATACAGTCAATTCACTTTACAGTGTGTTCTGTGAAGCGCTTTGGGACGTCCTCCCGATGTGAAAAGCGCTATATGAAATGCAAGGATTATTGTGATTATTATATACAGTCAATTCACTTTACAGTCTATTCTGTGAAGTGCTTTGAGATGTCGAGAAGACGTGAATATCAAATGCAAGGATTATTATATACCTCTCTACTCCTATTTCCCTCATATTTTCTTTTAAATGCATTGATTCCTGCTTGTGGCATAGAAAAATAATTATATTCTAGATTTATCATCTGGCCAATTAGGTGGATTACTGGAAGATTGCCCATAAAATACCAGTCACTCCATTTTTCAGTATATTCTGTGAAGCGCTTTGGGACGGCTCGATGATGTAATAAGACACAATATCCAAGACACTAGGTGAAGGGTGCTACATACGTGCATGTCCTTTCTCTCCTACCTGCTCACTCACTTTGCAAATAAATTTGTAGGTCCATTGTTTAGGGACACAATTTCTTAAGAGTTTTAAGACATGTGTGATTATGTGGTGTTTACCACTCTTGCTGATTGTAGGGGCTACCTCACATAATACTTGTAAGATTAGGAAATTCAGCCCTGATGTGTGCTAGTGTGACAGTGATAATTGATTCCCTATCACTGTGTAGCAACCTATGTAACACAGATATAAAATAACAGATAGTAAATGGAAACCATTGCACCTGGGTGAGGAGGCCAATAGGAGATTGCACACCAATTGAATGGGTCAGGGGGCCGTGGATACCACACAAGAAGAACAAGAGGAAAGATTGGGCATTCATAGAAAGGGGCTCAGGATAATCCAGTGTTGGCAGTGGGAGGGTTCACATTACATGATTGCACAAATTGGAAAGAGACACTTGCAACAAAACGGTATTGCAATAATAAAAGGATTAGTATTGTAACAACATATCATTAGTAAAACTAATTTGTCTCACGATAGTCTAATACCAGCTCACGTTCCGTATTAACGGGTGAACAATTTAACACTTTGATGCATTCTGCTTCACAATGATAGGAAGAGACAAAATAAAAGTGTGAGAATCGGCTTGTGAATTTATAAATTCAAATCAGTAAATATGACTGCTTGAACAAGTCATCCCTAAACTCCCATATTTTAGCAAGGATTACTTTAAATACAAAATTGAATTTCTCTTTTGTGGCAAATTACATATTGAAATATATACAATAAACATACTTAAGTTCTGAATTTCCTGAAGTAAACTGAAATTATACAGAAACTATCACCTTGATTAGAGGAATTGCAAGCAGTTTGAATAGATATTGAATGACATGAGCAGCAAAAGAGTTTTACAAGTATACTGTCAGTTAAAGGAGAGGCTATAATGAATGCAGTTGATAAGGTGGATATATCCCTCTGACAGAAGCATCCCCCAAAAATTACCAAATACTAAAATAAGAGCTAAAACATGTAGAAGTGAGATTAAAAAACATTTATTCTCACAGAGATTTGTGAGAATGTTGAATGCACTGGGTATTTAACTGGCAGACAGACAGGTGACGTTAGAGAAAAACCACAACTTGCATTTTACAGTGCCCTTCACATCATTGAGACGTCTCAAAGCACTTCACAGAATAAACTGTAAATAATAAAATAAATTATCCTTGCATTTAATGTATCATGTCTTTGAGACATCTCAAAGCGCTTCACAGAATATATTGTAAAATGAATTAACTGTATATTTTGCGGGCGCAATGTGACAGCCAATTGTGCAAAGCAGTCTCCCACAAAACAATCATGGATTGCGTGACCAACTTCTTCTTAATATTTTTTTTAAAAAGTGATTATTGCCCCTAGAAAAGCAATCCGCCAATCGACTAACAACTGGGTTCCTACTTACTGCTAAGTAAACAGAGGCGTGTGGAGTAAGGAAACTTGCTCAACATTTCGCCCTGCCCGGGAATCGAACCCAGGTTCTCGTGCTTGCGAGGCGAGTGCTCTAACCACTGAGCTACAGGACTCCAGTGAATTGAATTGACTGTTTATTTGTGGGTGGAACATGGCAGCAAATTGCACACAGCTGTGTCCCACAAACAGTCGTGGATTGAGTGACCACATGTTTTTTTGTGTGAAGGGATTATTGCCCCCCAGAAGGGCAATCAGCTAATCGACTAAAGGAGGGAGAATGGGATTAAAATATCTTGTGTGATCTAATAAACTGGCTCAACAGGCTGAGTGTCCTCGTCATGTTCTTATGTTCATGTCTTTTCATGTTTCTTGTTGTTTGTAATGCTGTGAACTGCTGGTAACTCTAGGTAGTTTGACTTTCCCTGATTGCCCATTTATATTTCATTTTATTTTGAAAACATGATGCTGCTGAAATTAAACTGATAACGTCTGCAGAATTATTCCACTAATATTAACCCTATACAACTTCACAAATTCAACAGCCTATCAAGTAATTCCTTCTGCATTCCTTTGCGTGTTTGCTATCTCTCTCCCCCTCACTCCCCCAATCCCTCCCCCGTCTCTCCCTCTCATCCTCCCCCCCCCCCCACCACCTCCCCTCTCTCTCTCACCTCTTCCTCTTCAAAGTAACGTCCATTGCATGAGATGTTAAACCAAGGTCCCATCCATCTGTTCAGGTAGACATTAAAAATCCAATGACACTATTTGAAAATAGAAGTGAGTCTCTCCAGATGTTCTGGCCAACAATCTTCTAGATAAATTGGTCATTTACATCGTGGCTGTCTGTGGGACATTGCTACAAATACTTAGTCACAACACTTTCCCCCTTTTCCAAGGGAAAGCGACATTGTAGGTTTGCATTAAAGATCGAGCAGTGATTCTCTCCCAGTTGAAGACTATTGGGTCCGGGGTGGTGGGGGGCGAGGTCACACATGTCACATTAACTTCTTTCTCAGGTGATGATCAACACTGCTGTGTTTTTCCTGCATTTTGTGTTCTTATATCATATTTCTAGCAGTCACAAGCCTCTGAAAGTGGGCATGTCCACACTGTGAAAATGCGTCAAAGTCCAAGTGACAATGCATTATTCTTGGACAATACATATCAGAGTAAGAGATGTATTATCTCTTATTAATACCTTGCACCCTAATACGTTCTGCACGCTGCAAAACACTGCTCGACCTGTATTCGAGGCTCAGTGCCATTTGCTATTCTGATATTGGTAACTTGTGAAATGGTCTTATGGTTATAACACAACTGATTATTGGCTTTGTACCTGCAGATACATTTTCCCCATCCATCCATCATTCAGGATTATAGCCTTGGCTGAACCTCCTGTGGTGGGAAGTAACACTCAACAATGGCTGGGGTCAGAGCTGCTAACTATGTTCCTGTTCCATAGCATCAGATCGTTCTCCATGAAAGAGGAAATTGATGTTATCACAGGAATGGTAAGGATCATCTGTGCGCTTGTCTGCCCATTTCTAAAGTGAATTCACAACAAACATTTTTATAATAACAGTAATCCTTGCATTTGATGTAGCGCCTTATCACGCAGTTGAGACGTCTCAAAGCGCTTCACAGAATATATTGTAAAGTGGATTGACTGCGCATTTTTGGGGCAAAACAGGGCAGTTAATTGCACACAGCAGTTATAAAGTGCTCCCCCAGATGGCAAAGTGAGTAAAGGCAACAATGAGCCAAACATACCAGAAGATTGTAGGTATAAGTCCTGTCTGCGTTGAATGAGCTGGCTTCAGTTGGTTAAGCAAGAGGGATGTTTGAGGGAAACATAGGTTTGAGATCATACAGATGAGAGCCACAAACTCTACTTACATCCTAAAATGTCCTGCAGGCAGTAAAACACTGCTCAACTGTTTTTCAAGGTTTGGTGGCATTTGCTGTGTTGATGTTGCTAGGTTGTTGAACACCACCACAATTTACTGCAAAAATAATTTTCCTTTTTATATTCCGGTTTTAAGTGTGGGCAGCTCTCTCCTTTCTCTGGGATAAAGATAGCCATCTTAAAGCTGTGCTCTGTATGAATATTTTAGACATATAAGAAGTAACACTTCCATTGAGGCTCCTATCTGTCTATCCACACACTTTCAGTTTGATTGAAATAATGAATCCCTCACTTCAGATGCTGGATTCGGTTACTTTTTTTAAAAAAAAATCTGAAATGTATAGAAACTTTGCCCTGTGCTGGGCTGTTACTAATTTGCTCCAAATATGCACCATGATAAAATTACCTAAATGACTATAGTGAGCATGACCTATTTTTCCTGTGGAAATTGATGTTGGAATACTTTGGTAATTTGGAACATTTTAGTGTCAGGATATTTAATCATGCTGCAACATGAATTTCTATGCTTATTTTTTGTGACTTTGAATGGTTTCCACAGCCGCCTCTATCTCTGGAGGGAGGGAGGGAGTATTTTGTCATATGCGTGTCAGAGTCAGTGTCATATTTGTCTCCTGATTACATGAATTGCATAACCGACATGCCTGTTTACATGACTGATCATTGAGCGCAGTGGGTTTTAAATTCAATTACAGAACCACGGAGCAGTGACGCAGAAAGTAGGCCAGCCACATGACCTTTTCACAGGTGCATTTACTCTGAATGACAAAGTGAAGTAGTGGCGTGTTGCAGACCAGGGAGTGAACAAACTATAAAACTGCAATGCTTTTAAGCATCAGCATGATTTAAGATGTGAACCAGAAAACCTTGTTTGGTACCTGCCTATGATGCAGTAACCCTCCTGGTAGATACTCTATTATACAGTTGAGTTTTCAAGTTGCTGTGGATATCACTTCCTCGCCCAGACCAATCAGCCAGACAGTCCACACCATAAGCCACAAACAATTACACTAAATGGAAATGCATTTCCAATATCCACCAGAGACCAGCGTTAAAAGCATAATCATGGGCTCGTGAGGCACCTAAAAACAGTTTGGAATTGAGTCATGGAGCCTGACTGTCTGAGTTCTCTGCTCTCAGGAGCTGCTGGCCAGACCAAGCTTATGAGCGAGCGTCTCCATTTGGAAATTGCACAGCCTGACGGCCTTTCCCATCCCAGATACCGATGGTTCAGTGTGTACGCAGGGGAGATTCATTGCGGGTAAAGTACTGCAATCTGTTCGGTTCTCAGATTGGAAGTAACAGCGAACACAAGTCCAAAAGCCAAATGAATTTTAAAGATTATTTCGTGAAATGAAATTGCATAGATGGAGTTAGTGGTTTATATTGAATCCCTCTTTACACTTACCTTCTTCTACTGAGGATTATCTTAGCACATTTAATCCATTTTTCTACCCAAGAAAGGATCCTATTTTACTACTCAAATTAAGACTTTTTTTGGAGAATTGTTTGACGAAGGTGAAGGATTTCATTTCAGGAAATGGAAAGTCTTTCAAATCTGGCCATTAAGCATCAGTACCTGGCATTTCTAGGTCATACAGAGAAATCCTCTCTCAATTCTGGCTAAAAAATATGCCTTTAACCCAACTACGAGAAGTTTTCATCATTTTCTAGAGCTACCATCCTTTTGTTATCTCTCAAAGAATTGGTGCTAAACTGACATTTTCTGTTTTCCCCCCCACCCCCCTACTAAGAAGTACAATAGAGCCTTGTTATAATGTGCTACTTTGGGGTCTAAAATCCAAACCCACATTAAAATGGAGCGTGATCCCTAGTCAGCGTTTCCATATCAGGTCACCGATTGCATGACTTGTCAGCAGCTCATGCTCACATTCGTCTTTCCACACTGAAATATACCACGCCTTTTCCATTTATACAGCACCCTTCACATCAGGAGGACAACAACAACAAATTACATTTGTGTTGCACCTAACACGTCAGGAAGACGTCCCAAGGCACTGGAAACGAGGACATCTCAAAGTGCTTGAAATATGGCCCTTGTCCTCGTATGGCCTATGGCCTACATAATATGCCCTACCATAGCATACTACTGACGTAAATTCCTGTACTTATGCGCAGAACGCAGCCAACCTCGCAATACACAACGCAGCATCTTAGTGCAACAAGGTTAGATCTCGCATTGTCGTGGTGTGTAACCTAGCCCTTGTCACTTGCAGCACTTGTGCAATGGGCAGGAAGTGGTGTTAGTGTGACTTGATACCCCAAAGTCAGCCATTATTAGTCACATTTGTTCAGTGTGTTACAAACACAGGTTCAAAGTGCATTATAGCAGGGTTCTACTTTAGATTGACACCCACACAGCCTGGCCAGAAGAAGAGATTTTCATCCATCAGCCTGAACTCTAAATCTTGTCCACAATACGGGAGAGTAATACTAGGGATTGTTGAGTATTTTTGATGCCTGTTTTGAATTTAAAAATTGTGGAGAGCAATTCATATAGAAAAGTAATTTGTTACATAGCTTGTCTCAAAAGAAGATTCAGTTATAAAATGAAATATTAGGTCTGCACCGAGATTAGAATTGATGTCAGTATTTCAGCTGTCATTAGTTATAATATATATGATAGCTCAGAGATGCTCTGCTGGGTGAAGGGTGCTGTATAAATGCAAGTTGTTGCTGTAACATTAAGGTGATTGATGGTTTTAACATGGAGAAATATAAAATGACATTTTTGGAAATGAAACATTTGTATGTTCTCTAACCTGCAGAATCCCAATGTCCCTAAAAAAGCTGTTCAACAATTGCTACGTTTTACACACAAGCTTCGACAGACCAGTGACCCTACAGTAAGTAAGCCTTTGCAGCAGTATTGTGACCTGTAAAGAAAACCCAGATCAAAACTTTAAGATGCAACAAGACAGCAGAACAATAGGACAGAGGTTTAGAGTTATAAAGCACAATTTCAGAACGGATACCAGTATTTTTTTCTTTATACGGAGGGTATTCAGTGACTGGAACAGGTTGCCAGAGAAAGTGATAGAGGCTAGGACACTGGACTTACTTAAAAAGCAGCTTGATGCAATGATGGGGGTCGGTAGGTTGGGTGTTCTGGAGGGAAGAGATTGGATGATCTTGTGAAGAGATTTATACAACTTGTAAGGACAAGGGAGAGAGTGAATAATGGTGGGATGCAGCACTGTACAGAAGAAGGTCAAAAATAGATTAGAGGAGCAAGAGAGAATTGGAAAGAGACATAATAGTGGATGCAAGACATAATGCCAAAATAGTATAACAGTACGGTCAGGTAAGAAGCTGAAATGTTAAGGCATCTAAAGGGGATTTAACAAGAAGATAAACAGGAATTACCAAACTTATTAAATGACTAGTTCCTTAAGGATTTTACCAACAAGGAGTCTTAAAGCCTGCCACTCAACACGCGTTTGAGCTGTGCAGTATCAGCAAAGATGCGGTTCTAATCATAATAATATAATCATATTGCATTTGACAGAGTGTCCATAACGATGAAACATCTCAAACCACTTTAAAGGTAATTGAAGTGTAGCGACTATGTGTTTTTGTAAGCAATACTGCAGCCAATTTGTAACGGCAACGTCCCAGAAACTGCCATGAAGTGAATAACCAATTATCGAGACAATTATCCGACCAGGAAACAAATCTTTCTGGAACAATCTGTTCCCAACCGTACTTAAAGATAATAGGTAAGAGATTTGTGAGGCATTCATAGACAACGTGAAAGATTGGTGAGGTTCCAACTGAAAAATGTGTTGCTTCATATATTTAAAAAGGTTGACTAAGCCTTACAGACCCATTAGGATGACCTCAGTAATTGGAACACGAATGGAATCAACGCTAAGAAAGAAAATGGAAGATTGAAACTAACTGAATAAAAAGTCTTGACAGAATGGCTTCATGATCCAACAGACTTTATTGAAGAGGTCGCAGCTCTCTTGTGTACAAATTGCCTGCTACGTTGCCTACAAATAGTCAGGCAACGAATTGTGAAGCACTTCGAGAGGCAATGAGTTGTGAAGCGCTTCAAGATGTTCCATGGTGATACATTAAAATGCTGGATTATTATTACGATTACTATGACTGTGGCAATATGATGTACCTCAGCTTCCAACTCTTGACAAACTACCACATGAAAGACCTCTTTCACAAACTAATGCCTGTGGGTGTTGAGGGTAAAACATGGATGTGGATCAATAACTAGCTGTAGGGAAGGAAACAGAGTAATTGTTCGGGGAGCTAAGCTCTCACAAATAGAGCTTGATAGATTATGCACATGAGCTGATCACCGGTAAACACAATTGAATATAGATAAATGCAAGCTATTGCTTCTGAGTTATAAACTGTAAAAATAAGAAGCACATCTGCTGAATGGCCTTCTTGTACAGAACTTGCCAAAGGAGGAATTGGGCAAGACTGCGTGGTGTTAGCAGTCCTGTCATCCTTCATGTCAAAACAGTACAAGGCCTTCTTCACCCAAACGTATCTTGTGATTCCAATGAGAAACCATTTTGAGAAAAAGTGGCTGCTAATGGTGAATGGATTTGTTCTATTCTCTTCCAGGCACAATCACTCGCCTCATCACTTTCCACACGCCAGTTACTCCGAATCTGCCGCCGCTTTGCCCAGTATCCAGAGGAAAGTCTCCACCATGCCATAAATAAAGCCTGTCTCTCCAGGTATCTTCTCTTCCAATTCTCTATCTAAGCTAATTCGCCACCCATTCCCCCCCCACCACCACACACACACACACACACACACAGGCACATACACATACACACATATACAGTACTTCAGAAAATTACTTCAGTATTACTTGTATACAATAATGATGTTTTAAAAATCACCATTGCTTGTTGCAGGCTCTTCGACCTTTATTTTAAATGGTACAGATCCTATTACTGCTCATTTAGTAAAGGCACTGAGCCATATAGAAGAGGAAATATCCTAAGTTCAGTTAGGAGCTGTACCTAATTAGCTGATCCTGGCTAGACCAGCATTTGGAGTGAAGTACGTTTTATAAATCCTATGTTTCTGTCCTTTAAATGTGCTTCTAATAATAGGGAGGGGAGTGACTTAAGGTCAGTGCACTATGTATGTGGTGTTGTATGTAAATGAGATATAATCCACGTATGCCTTTGCAGGTTTTTACCAAATCTGGCCAGGTCGGCTTTGCACATGAATCTAAAGGATTCTGGAATTGTCGCAACCTCTGAAGATGTGGAGGCACAAGAAGAGAGCAACTACACGTGTAAGTTTAAATTTACTATTTTCTTGTAACTCTGGCCATTCAGCAATTGTGTTGTGTTGAAGCCTTAAGACATAGGACTTTTTCATCTGTCATTACAGGTGAGATAAACTCTGGAATGCTTACAATTGGGAAGACTTCTGTTCCGCTCTTTAATCCAGATGAAAAGATGAAAGTGCCAGATGTTCTTTTTTATGAAAACACTCAGGTAACTCTGCTGCAAAACACATTGATGGGTATAGGTTCAATATTTACCAACCCCCAAACTTTAATCTTTCTGAAAATAACATGTTTTTTTAAAAAGTCTGAGAATTTATGTTGATCTCTTTAGTAAAAATAATAATTCTTGCATTTGACATAAAGCCTTATCACATTGTTAAATCATCTCAAAGTTATTAACAGGATCTTACTGGAAAGTGTAGTGACCGTGGATTTGTGGGTGAAAGGACAGACAATCTGCTCACAGCAATATCCCACAAAACAGCCATGAAGTAAATGACTAATTTTATCTGAACATATATATTGTAGACAGTGGTTTTAGACACAGTGGTCAGACTGACAGTAAATCGTATTGGAAGCAACCATCTCCCTCAAAGAAGGAACACAACCAATTAGGATTTATAGTTTTCAGAAATACAATTTCATTTAATCTCGGGATTAAAGTCTTTCATTTTGTCTGAGTGCTTAAATTGTTTAGTGGATTTTGGAATGTCACAGATATTTATCATATAAATTTATCATATATATCAAAAGTGCTATCTTGTTGGGTGACTGCAGTTGCTTTAGTGCGTGCCTTATACGTCAAACTAATTTTTCCAGTTCAAGATCAGAAAATCTCACTGTAAACAAGTGAGGTAAAATGGAGAACATTTTAAGAGGCATTTTAGTGCATATATTGTGAGTCACGCAGCATTTTAAAAATAAGTTGTCAGTGTCTGCTCAGGGAGTCTGCCAGGACAGCTGTGGCTCGATGATACAGCCAAAGTAAGCAGATTATTTTGGATAAATGCATGAGGAATTTATGTCGAAGACTCCCTTCATAGATCAGGTTTTGTTTTGCAACTTTAACCCTATATTGAGTTTGCCATATATAGTTCATTGTATCTGTATGTTCTGTTCTGCCTGCTCAGAAATTTTCAAAACAAAAATTCTTCTTTTTTTTAATAAAATGTTTAATTATTCTCTAATTTCCCATGATTACAGAGGGTGATATCTTTCATTGGGAAAAATCTACGCAGGATAAATTCGCCTACAAAATACACAGTAAATTCACTTTACAATATATTCTGTGAAGTGCTTTGAGATGTCTCAACAATGTGATACAATACAATGCAAAATTACATTTGTATAGAGCCTTTCACGTCAGGAAGATGTTCCAAGGTGTATAAAGGCGTTATATCAAATGCAAGGATTATGATTATTATTATTATTATAAATAGCATGGGTTGAATCTGCTGGACAATCTGGTCACCTTATGATTCAAGGGAAAGCTGCTGGATGGCACTTGTTTGCTGCTGGAAACAGTTGTGTCATTGATGACCTTTCAGATAGAGCTCAGAGTAATACAAAGACTGTCATGCTGTTCGATGCTCAACAACTCAGTTGGAACTGTCATGAATGAATAGTTTCATCATCCACATAATTATTAAGAAGCCCTGTCACTGATTTCAGGATTACTGTCAGAGAATGGACTGAGAAAGGCCAATTGGTACCTTCCATCTCTAGTCACTTTCAGCTGGTAATTGTAGCTCAATTTCTAACAGCTGGAATTAAAATGCCAAGAAGCAATCAAACTGCAAGATCATCTAATGCACAGAGAAGCACACTGGGAAAGTGTGATAGATGTGGGCGTCCTTTGTGAAAGAAAGAATGTGTTCTTGTTTTTCTGGCAAATTATTCTCTGTGAATTGTTCTGCAATTCTCTCGAGCATGGTAATGAGTTTCCTTGGACATCAGACATCTTACTGACCAAAACAAAATGGTTGTACTGTTTCTTATGGATCGTCCAAGTGGAGATTGTGCAGGAAGATTTGCTGAGGTGCTCAGCCAGACTTTCTTCACTATCAATGCTGGTAGCTAATCTAATTATAACATCTTTTTAGTCTCATCTTGTGATCATCCGGTTAGAAGAAAAACAAATAAAGTACTCACTGGAGGAACTGCATTTCTTCACTGTTTTAAATATCACTGAAACCATATCATATGGGGAATGTATTTATATATTAATGAGCTTAACGTCTGTACCATTTTATAATTCTAAATTGTTACAAAGATATATGATTCACTTGAACATCCTTCATTCTTTGAATTTCTGCCAACATTTTTTTTAATAGCTCGAGTGAGTATGAATTAGCAGCAGTGCAGATACATTATATTAATAATAATTCTTGCAATTGATATAGCGCCTTATTGCGTCTTTGAGACGTCTCAAAGCGCTTCACAGAATATACTGTAAAGTGAATTGACTGTATATTTTATGGGCGAAACACGGCAGCCAATTGCACACAGCAGTATCCCTCAAACAGTCGTGGATTGAGTGACCAGTTTTATTATTATTATTTTTTTAAAGGAATTATGACCCCAGGAAAAGCGATCTGCCAATCGATTAACAACTGGGTTCCTACTTATTGCTTGATAAACAGAGGGATGTGGAGTAAGGAAACTTGCCCAACGTTTTGCCCTGTCGGGAATCAAACCCAGGTCTCTCGCTTGCGAGGCAAGTGCTCTAACCACTGAGCACCACTGTGAAATAACACAATCCACACTGCCTCGATAGCAAACAAATCCCATTATTCAGAATAAACAAGATGATTGGTATTTTTGGCCATCAGTTTAGGATACATCCAGAACTAATATTCAACGAATAATCAGATCCAAGCTTGGTCCGTTTTTCTAGCACCACTTCTGGTACAATTCAGTAATTGTGTTGTTTTGTCCGTAAATGTAGACACCATCACCCTGTCAGGCTCATTAACTCCACATTTATCTAATGGCTGAATTTGCATTACATTAAAGTTCCTGTTTAATGCATAAAAGGACCTCAAATGTGGAAAATATTGCAGCCACTGTGTGAAAGAGCAGTGCCCTACCTTGTCTTTCTCTTGACTTTCTCTTCACATACTGACTAACTTGGTTTTATTACAAACTATTATTCCAAAATAATGCAGATATGAATAAGGCATCTAGGCAGTTCTTTTTTATCTGACCCCCCCCCCCCCCCCCCACACCGAGATATTTAGCTGTCCACCGCCACTCCAAACTCCAATCAGTTCAATCTTTATTCCGTTAAGAAACCTGTTGTAAAAACATCCAGCCATGTGTCACGAGGCATGTATGTGTGGCCACAATAACTTGGGAAAGAGATGTAAAATTATAATCCTCTTTCATAGAGAAGCTAGCCAGCATCTATCCATTAATTACAGTTTGAACAGATAAATGTTTAGCACTTTTTGGCAATATTATTAAGAAATGTTTTTACTCCGATTTTGTTTTGTGAATTTGGCAACCTTCCGTCTTGCTAAATGAACTCTGTCCCTTTAACCTTTCCTTGCTGTAATGATTTTTTAATAACCACTGGCTTCAAAGTATTGTATGCCAACTTTGCTGGTAAAATTACAAAATTGCTGGAAACAAAGTGAATTGCTGGAAACGAAATGGAAAATAGCCACTGACGAATCTATTGTACTCCAGATCAGAGGAGATATTAATAGCTATTCAAACCATTTTGTCACATTGTAGGCTACTGTAACAATGACAGAGTGCTAATGAAAAATATTTCATGGTGAGACCTACTTTTGAACTTGCTGAAACAAGTGCTCGTGAAAAGATGTCTGCAAAACACTGGCTTGTGTATTGTTCTATTTATTCTGTGGGTTCACTTTTAACTGTTGTGTTTGTCATGTGATGTGGATGTAAATTTGCAGTTAAATATTTCTTCACATGGATGAGGGGTGAGGTGGTGGGAGGGGATTGGTGAGAATATAAGGGGAAAAAATTGCACCTGAGTCTGCGTTTACTTTATTTGTATAGCATTTCAGAGTGTCCACAATTCATCAAATACTTAAATATATCCTCAATGTTGAAGCCAGGTTTCTGTAATTTCTTTTAAGAGTTTGTCAAATTCTGAAAGTTCTCAAATGCTACCTACAAAGAGGCAAATCATATCCACAACCAACACAGCAGTCAAACCTTGAGATCTAGAAAAGAGATGGAAACATATCAATAATTGAATTGAAACTACTGCAAGTGATTGGGGAAAGGAGGGAAGGAAGAGCATAGGATGGTAGCACATAATAATAATAATCCTTTCATTTAACTAGGAATCCTATTACGTTGATACGTCTACAAGCTTCAAGGTTGTGAACAGCTTGTTTTGGTCAGTTGTGCATTTGACGCATTTGTATCCAAACCAGTCTGAGATTTACATAGACTGCACAGCACGAAAACAAGCCATTTGGCCCAACTACTCCATGCCGGTGTTTATACTCTCTACATGAGTCTCTATCCACTCCTTACTCCCTCCCATACCTTTCTATTGCTTTCCCTCTTGTCTATGTCTAGCTTGCTCTAACCCAAACCCTAAAATATACCGTAAAGGCGGTGATGATAGAGGGGAGGGGAAAAGGGGTGATCATCAATTGATCCCTCAGCAAACTGACCTGGAAATGGAATAAGCTGGTTTGAGTAAGATGAATATATGAACAGGATTCTAAGAGGAAACCGACAACAGTCAATTGATAGGTCTAGATGCAAGCTTTGTGTTCAATTTAAACCATCTTGTAGATTGTTTTCCCAAGAGGTTGATCAATATGTAGTTTTAAACGGTATGAGCTCAGAATAGGAAATTCCCACTTTAAGTTCACACAATCATGGTTCCTGCCACTGGGAGCGAGTCAACCACACTTGTCAGCCAAGATTAGTGAATTTGTCAACCACTGGAGAACTTGCCCTCTCCCCCTCCCAAACCCCATGGTGAAAATGGGCCAAACATCACATCAGCCTGATTAATTTACTACGTGCTTCATAATATCCCCATTTCACTGTTTACTCTTGATGGTCGTCTGGGTCTCCATGGCATTTAGGTGCTCACTCATCATACGTCTATAATTATTAGCTGCAACAGGCAAATTATTATCTTATCAGTAGCAAGACACAAAAAACAGATTATTTACATTATTTTTGTCCCTTTAATACTGGTTTCTCTTGTACTTCCATCCACAAGCCTTCAGATTAGATGTCAAGTGTGTAGGTTGGGAACGCCTCTGTTCTCAAAGTTGGCTCAGTTCCACACGGCAACTGACAATGAATGTGTGCTCCCATTTAGTGCATCTTTATACCTGGGTGGAAAGTTCCGTTGTTCTGTTGTTGCTGTGTCTTGAAGCTGTGGAGTCATTCACTTACTGCCGTGGTGAGTCACCACATCAAAGCACTATATTATGATGCAGGAAATGGATAAACATTGTAGGTTTGGTGAATTAATACATTGGGAAATTCTGTGTTTGGTGTGTGCTCGAGTGAGCACCATCTAATCCTTTTTTTTGTAACCCATTTTTAACTTAATTCTTCTGTTGTTTCTCTAGTGTAATTTTCTATACCGTTTGCAGTTTAATATTCTTGCTTTGCATCAGTGTCTCTCCAATATGTATACTATATATAATATCTATTAAGAAAAATGGTGAGCGCCACACTCAAAGGTGTGAATTTATCGAGGAAAAAAGGATGGTAGAGGAAGGAAAACATAAGTTCTTCAAATGTGCTGCGCTTGGAGAAATGAATGGCAGAATGGGCCTGAGAGATCTGTGCACTTGGTGAGGTGTGCACCTTAGCTTCCTCCACTCCACCATTGGAGGTCGTGCATTCAGCCACTGTGCCCCGAAACGCAGGAACACTCTCCTTTAATCCCTCCACTTGCCCCCTCTCTCCACTTTTTCAAGTCCCTGTCTGAAAACCTTCCTTTTCGACCGTGCTTACGGGCTCCTCCCCACCAACCCCCACCCGGCTCGGAGTCAGGCTCCACTGCTGTTAAGCGCTCTGAGATGCTAACCTACGTGGAGGGTGCTATATAAGTGCAAGTTGTTGATGTTGTATATACCTGACGATAGAGTTCAAAACAGTGGTTTCAAATGGGATTTCTTAATAAGAATGCAAATAGGGATTTCTTCCAGTAAGCACAAGTAACTCATCCAAAACTTGCCTTGACCTTTAAAAGGGTTTAATTTCTCCTCCATGATTTTCTAGGAACATCCTCCCGACGTGAAAGGCGCTATACAAATGTAATTTTGTTGTTGTTGTTGTGAGCTTCTCAGTCAACTGCTGTTGCATTGATGGAATCAGCTAGTTGGTTTATGCTGTCATAATTATTTGTTTAAAAATTGGTCACTCAGTTGTTTGTGGGACACTGCTGTGAGCAATTGGCTGCTGCGTTTCACCCACAAAATAATACATTCAATTCACTTTACAGTATATTCCGTAAGCCCTTTCAGACTGCTCGGAGACGTGATTACAGTCAAAGGCACTTGAATGTATTATTATTATTATAATAAATGGAGACGTCTGATGGCTGATCGCAGCAAAAGGTTCTTGTTAGGAACCATAAATTTCAAACCGCTTTATTATAAATGTGTGTTTTTCTGCTATTTTTGTCATCCTTAATAGAAGAATGACTGAGATCTATGTTTTGTTTCTTTTAGCACATGGAGGTGATGGAGGACATGCTCAAAGACTACATGCTGGGAGAGCATCTTCTTTTAGTTGGGAACCAGGTGAGTGCGTAGATTTTTAGATTTAGTTGGTCATTTTAATTTTAAAGGTAACCTTTTTAAATAATGCTACATCTACAGGATAAAATTAATGTATAAATGTGACTGTAAAATAACGAACATGGCTTCTCCATACTCAAACCGACTAACAACTGAAACATGTGGACGAACGATGCTAATTGTATTTAGAAATATTTAATTGTGTTCAGTACAAATGTTTAAGTGTTTTTAGACATCCCAGAGGATAGATGTGTGCGTGTCAGTGCCATAATTTTCACGGCAGCTAATGATCCGTCGCATGTTCAATGCGACATCTTAACGTGGATGGCCGTAGTGTGACAAGACAAAATGCATCTCTGACTGCACAGAATCCTGTAGCATATTGGTTAGAGCACCATCCTTGCAAGCGAGAGGACCCAAGTTCGGAGGAAACCTTAGGCAACTTTCCTTACTCTACACGCACTCTTCTGTTTACCCTGCAGTGATGATGATAATAATAATAATAATCCTTGCATTTGATATAGCGCCTTATTACGTCTTCGAGACGTCTCAAAGCGCTTCACAGTAAATTGAATTAACTGTATAAGTAGGAACTCGGTCGTTATTCGATTGGCAGATCGCTTTCCGGGGGTAATAATGCCTTGCCAAAAAATAATTGTTGGTGGGACACTGCTGTGCGCAATTGGTTGCCACGTTTCACCCACAAAACACACAACTACACTTTACAATATTTTCTGTGAAGCAATTTGAGACGTCTCGATAAGTTGATAGGCTCTATGTCACATCCAAAGATTATCATTATTATAAAGTCAAACCAATTTGTAATACTGTACTTCATTTTCACACAAAACCTTTTTTTGGTGAGCCGGGTGTCTGAGATATGTCAAAACCTTAAGAGTATCCAAACCAGACAGAGATCCATATAATGTATGCCATAGAAATGTCCTTATGTCTGGAATTGAATGCGCACTCTCTCTTTGAGGGACATAACTGTTTAGCTAATCTCAGAGTGTATTAGGTGCAGGTTGGTAAAACCCAAGGCTTGGGGACCCCAGAGTGTGTGTTGGGATCCACAAAATTCTTTTGTCACACAGCACATTGCCAAAATCTATGTATTCTCCCACTGCAGTGGAAATGCAAATTACTTTTGACTGCTGCTACCGTTTTCATGGAAATACTCTCCTTAAATGAAGTTGACTCTGGTTCCAGAGTGCTCCAGATCAGGAATGTTTCTCTTCCTTTTTTGGTTTGCTAAAGTATAAGCTCCACGTATTTCTTCATTAAATAGTAATGTAAAATGTGTCGATGTTCTGGCAAAGAGCTGTTCACGCTATTCTCTAAAATTATATCTGTGGCTAAGAAATATTCTTCCCTTCTTGCTAAAATGCAGCAGTTTTAAATATTGCATCCAAAAGACAGTTTCTGAAGCTTATTGGTGAAAGATTTATACTCCTTGTGTGTTTAATTGGCCCCCCCACTGATCCAGCTGCCTGTGTGGAATGGCACCATTTTAATGAACCTTACTTTAATTTCATAACTTGGAAATAGGATGAGAATTAGATGCTACATCTATATTAATAGGAATACCATTGGGAGAACCTCCGCCTCAGTGACATGCTACAAGACAAATGTAGCAGCAACTTTGACTACTGTTTCCAGAAGTTAAGTCACTCCCTCCTCTCTCAACACTGGAGGCACAAGGAGAACATACTGTCCATCCTGAGGTCCTGTTTTTGCATCACTCCAAGAATGAGCCATCTGTTTATAATGCTCACTGCTGTCCATGCTGCTGAGCTAGCATTCACTAAATTTGTGCATCATTTGCAAATATAAAGGTTACTCAGTTGTTCACAAGTGACCTGATTCATTACAAATATTGGCCTTGCTGTTTAATGAGAGTTGGGTTATTCTAATTTTAAAGCCATAAAACTCAGAGCTGTGGCTAATCAGAAAAAGGCAGTGCTTCTTGTCTTCTATATTTACAATCTGAAAACCTAATGTTTGCAGTGTATTTGGCTCAAGCAAAACTAGATTTTGATTCTAGTAATTATAAATTATTGAAATTGCCATTGAAATGGGGAGTTTCTGAACTCATTACTGAGCAGATTTTGGTACTATTTGCATTCACTTAAACATCTTTGAGTCTGATTGCAGGGCATTTACGATCTGCAATGAATTTAAACTGATATCTGACAAAAAGCATGTGGTGCAGTTCTGGTGATCAGTTGTAAATAATTATTACAGCAATTATAAATGTTTCATTTAAAGAGAGAATTTTCATGAAAACAGCAGCAGCAGTCAAAGGTAATTTGCATTTTCACCGCAGTGGGAGAATACACAGATATTGGCAATGTGCTGTGTGTACAAAAGAATCTTCGGTTAGTATAATGTATAATGGTTATCGCAGTGAAAGAAGCCTGAAATTTCTAATGAAAGGAATCTGAAAATATTATCTGTGTATTTGAGTGAAAATATCATTACGGCAGTAAATTAGTTGTTTAGTTACACTTGGATGATCATAGGAGGTACGAAATCATGCCACATATACTCATACACACATACCCATTGTATTTCATTGACTTTTTTTTGTAACCCATTTTTAACTTAATTCTTCTATTGTTTTCAGTGTAATTTTCTATACTGTGTGTAGCTTAACATTCTTGTTTTGCATCAGTGTCTCTCAAATATATATACTATATATAATATATATTAAAAATAATAAAGCAACCAAGCAATCACTTCAATAAGCTTTCAGTTTTGATTAAAATATACAACAACAAATTGCATTTAAATAGCACATTTCATGTGAGTAGCATCTCGCAGCGCTTTACATAAATCAGGGCACACAGTTTGATGTATTGATACCGTTCCTAGTTGCTACTTGTTAATAACTTTATTCTTTTTTAGGGTGTGGGGAAGAACAAGATTGTTGATAGGTTCCTGCATTTACTGAACAGACCCAGAGAGTACTTACAGCTTCACAGGTAAACGCTGAATCGAATAAGACAAAAATCGTAAATGTTTTGGGAGAGCCTACTGACCTATTATTTGGACTTGAAAGAACAGACGAGTCACTGGGGACTGGAATTCTTCTCATTCAGCCCCCCAAACCTTGGGTCCCGGTAACCTGCACCTAAACCAGCAATTCTAAAAATGTGGCCATGTAATGAGGCTGCATGCAACCCACAATGATGTGATTTTGTGCGGCCACAACAGCCTTGGCCCAGCCAGGAGAGGTGGAGAGTGTGCACGCGTGTGTGGAGAGCAGCGCATGCTTGTCCTAGTAGTTCGAGTGCACATTGTGCCCACTGCTGCGGAGGGCTGACCGGACTACAGCTCCTAAGAGGTGCCGCGAGGGAGGGAGGGAGGAAGGGGGGGCATGGCTCACCTTTTCTTTTCGTCTCTCCCCGTGCGCTGGCTGGCTCGAGAAGAGGGGAATCATAGAATTATACAGCACAGAAGGAGACCATTTGCCTCTTCGTGTCTGTGCCAGCTCTTTGAAAAGAGAGCTATCCAATACAATCCTATTTCGCTGCTCTCTCCCCACAGCCCTGCAAACTTGTCTTCCACAAATAATTATCTACTTGTCTCTTAAAAGTTGTTATCGAATCAGCTTCCACCACCCTTTCAGACAATGCATTCCAGATCCAAACAATTCGCTGTATGAAAAAATTTCTGCTCGACCCCCCCTCTGTTTCTTTTAACAACTATTTTAAATCGATGTCCTCAGGTTACCGACCCACCCACCATTGGAAATAGTTTCTCCTTGTTCACCCTATCAAATCCTCTCATAATTCTGAAGACTTCTATTAGGCCTTCTCTTAAACTTCTCTGTTCCAAGGAGAATAATCCTGGCTTCTCTAGCCTCTCTTGATAACTGCAATCCCTCATTCCTGGTACCATCCTGGTAAATTTCCTTTGCACTCTCTCCAATGTCTTGACATCCTTCCTAAAATGTGTTGCCCAGAACTTTACACAGTACTCCAGCTGAGGCCTAACCAGTGTTTTATAAAGATTCATCATAACTTCCTGACTTTTGTATTCTATGCCCTATTTATAAAGCCTAGTATCCCGTATACTTTTTTAACAGCTTTATCTACCTGTCCTGCCACCTTCAAAGATTTATTTATATGAACCCCCAGGTCTCTCTGTTCCTTCATCTCCTTTAAGATTGTACCATCTAGTTATATTACCTCTCCTCATTCTTTCTCCCAAAATGCATTACTCCACATTAAACTTCATCTGCCACATGTCTGCCCAGTTTACCAGTCTGTCTATATCCATTTACAGTGGGCTACTATCCTCCTCACTGTTTACTACTTTTTCTTGCTTAGTATCATCTGCAAACTTGAAAATTGTACGCCCTATACCCAAGTCCAGGTCATTTATATAGATCAAAACCAGCAGTGGTCCCAATATTGATCCCTGGGGGACACCACTGCACACTTCCTTCCAGTAGGAAAACACTCTCTGCTTTCTGTCTCCCAGCCAGTTCTGTATCCATGCTGCCACTGTCCCTTTAATACTGTGGGCTTCTATTTTTCTTACAAATCTCTTATGTGGCACTTTATCAAACGCTTTTTGAAAATCCATATAAACTACATCAACTGCACTACCTTCATCCACCCTCTCCGTTACTTCATCAAAAAACTCCTATCAGGTTTTGTTAAACATGATTTGCCTTTAACAAATGCGTGTTGGCTGTACTTTATTAACCCAGATTTTTCTAAGTAAAAATTTACTTTGTCCTGGATTATAGTCTCTAGAAGTTTCCCCATTATTGACGTTAGGCTAACTGGCCTGTAGTTCCCGGGTTTATCTTTCTGCCCCTTTTTTGACAGAGGAGTCACATTTGCAACCGTCCGGTCCTCTGGTACCACCCCGGTGTCCAAGGAGGATTGAAAGACTGTGGCCAGAGCCTCCGTTATTTCCACCCTTACTTCCCTCAGTAACCTAGGATGCATCCTGTCTGGACTGGGTGACTTATCTACCTTGAGCACCGACAACCATTTTAGTACCTCTTCTCGGTTTATTCTTATCCAATTTCTTTAGCTTCTCATCTGTGGCATTGGCTGCATCCTCTGATTTTGTGACGACAGATGCAAAGTACTCATTTAGTACGTCTGCCTCCACCAGAAGATTTCCTCTTTGGTCCCTAATTGGACCTACCTTTGACTAAACTTTTATTCTTTACACACTTATAAAATACCTTAGGATTCCCTTTTCTGTTACCCGCTAATCTTTTCTCGTACAATCTCTTTGCCCCACTTATTTTCTTTTTCAGTTCTCCTCTGTAGTTTCCGTATTCTGTTTGATTATCTTCTATATTTTGGACCTGACATTTATCACAACCCTCCTTTTTCTGTTTTATTTTAATCCCAAGTCCCTTATTCATCCAGGGAGGTTTGGATGCCCTACCTTTCCCCTTTGGGAATGCATTTGTTGTCCCTGAACTATCTGCTTCTTGAAGGCTTCCCATTCTTTGTTAGCTATTTTACCTGCCAATCTTTCTTTCCAGTCCACCTTGGCTAGGTCTCTTTTTAACTCACTGAAATTAGCCCTCTTCCAGTTGAGTATCTTCACCTTTGATTGCTCTTTTATCCTTTCCATAAGTACTCTTATGGCAAGTAATAGAGATTATGAAAAGTTGCACTGCGTCCACCAATAAGTGTTGGTGGCCGCACATTTGTTTGAGAGCTACTGACTTAATCTCTGTGGAAATAGGCAAAGCAGAGTGTATCTCTCCAGGGAGAGTGTGTGCACTTCATAGCAAACAAACAGACCCTTGCAGATGTGGAACAATCAGTGGTTTTGTTTGACAGCTCCTAAGTGTGGGGATGGGTTTCTGTATGTATGTGAGTACACCCAACTGACCACAAAAAAGAATGGAATTGAAACATGAAATTGACAGCAAACATTTAGGTTTCCTGGTCTGTTTTCAACCAGAACTCTATGGGGATTATTCTGCTCCATTTAAGTACAGTTCCTTGGCAGTAGAGTGGCTAGTATCCCTGCCTGTCACAGGAGACCAGGATTCAATTCCCCGCTGGGGAGATCAGCAGCTCTTTTGGCATACGAAAGGAGAAGTGCAGTGAATCTTCTGAAATGTGCTTCTTGTGGGATTTGCAATACTCAGTAATGGAACATTGCTTAAACCCATTTAAAGCCCCGTGAAGCCACCTTATTTAATACAATTTGTGTGAAACAATACAGTCTCTGTGAAATATCAGTTTGAACGTCATAGAAATAACATCCTAATGGAATATGAGCAGAAGTATTTGGGGGGATGGTGGGTGTGTGGGTGAGGAGTTGGGAGGGTGGGGGTGAAGAAGAGATATCAGAGTATTAGAACTATTCTGTATTGCATGTTTTAATTTACTTCAGATTTAAAATGAATATTTTCTTCCAAATATGTATAATTGCTTATTATTTTTGTAGCGCAGGGTATAAATAGCATACTTGTTCCGTTATTGATGCAGAGTGCATAGACTGTTTTAGAAGGGAAATCAGCTCGATGTTTGACTATTAAAGAGAATAGGGTGTGAGCAGAAGAGTGGAGGTTGATTAGGTGTTTCATGAAGAAAAACATGAGCGCAGATTAAATAGTCTGACTGTGCTGTACGTAACATTACATGATTTTATGAATACTTGATAAAAATTACACCCTGCTCTAGGTACTCCCAATCCTAATGCTCGTGAGTTATCAGGCCAACCTAACTGCATCATCAACACTCTTTGTTATTTTTCCTGCATCTAATCACTTGAACCCTATTCAACAACCAGTTGAATAATCAGAGACATACATGAAGGTTTTTAATTAATCTTTTCATAAATCTCTTTTCGAAATAGCTCATATAATAAAATCAACAGCATGTTCACATGCGACCCAGTCATTTTCTTTATGACATAGATTTCACAATTTTGCTACTTTGAACAAGTGTTGAATTTAAAACGGCACGTGACTAACTAAAAATTACAGATATTGCAGATATTTTGTAAGCTTTTTGTGAAACATTTATTTACTTTTATTTCAGGGACACGACTGTGCAGAGCTTGACTTTACAGCCATCTGTACAAGGTGGTGTTATCGCGTATGAAGATTCCCTCTGGTCAGGTTTAATTTTTGATATTCGAATCCCCTCACATATCCCCTCTCCACACTCTCCATGCTTTCTCTTCTTCCTGTCTTTGTTTAATGAAGCAAATTAACCGTGAGCTCCATCGTCAGGACAGTGGCTGAATAACGTAGTATTTTGTGGCTGTGTATTTATGTCACTGTAATCTATCTCTGATCTTGGGACGTCAGGTACGTAAAAAAAGTATGAGGAAAAGGTAAAATGGTATTAAATGGATAGCTCTTTCAGAGGGTCAGGACAGACATGATGGACACAAGTCTGTAGAACTCCTTTAAAGAAATAGGGGTCAGCTTCTTGGCAGCATTGGAACATGCTCTGGTTTTGTTTTTTCCGTGGCAGGGTGATTTAAATTATTTAGGTTATGGGATGATTTACTAATATGGGTATTTGAAAAGCAGTGAGTGCTGTGGCTCATTCTTTCCACGTTGGCCTGGAAGCAACCCAGGTCCCACCTCCTTTACAACTTGCCCACAAAATACACAGTCAATCCACTTTACAATATATCCTGCGAAGAGCTTTGACCCATCTGAACAATCCGATAAGGCACTATACCAAATACAAGGATTGTTGTTATTATTATTGCCCACCTTTAGTTCCTGAAACATTCTGTCCTTGAGAACATTTTAACATCTGAATAAATTACCCCGCAACTTTTCTGATTTAACCCTTTCAGTCTTTTGCATGAATTGAATGTTGCAGATATATTTGACCAGGAACAGATTTCAATAGGTCCGTGAATTAGCCCCAACAGAAACACCCAAGTAAAATGCAGGGAACAAATCAGATCAGCAAATTAATTCTGGTTCTTGAGTGAATGGTAATAAAATAATAACCATAAATCTTGCATTTGATTTAGCACCTTTCACATTGAAAAAACATCTCAAAGCGCTTCACAGGATTTACTGTAAAGTGCAGTGACTGTATTTTGTAGTAAGCCATCTCTACTTACATCTGCATTAAAATAACAATTATCCAACGTTGTTATCAGGCAGTCTTTTCTCCTTCACTATTTATTCACAAGACTAGTGGAAAATAAAGAGAGTCCAGTATTATAATTATATTACCTATAATTGCTTTATATTACCTACATGGCTTTACCATGCTGTTGGGGCATCTCAAAGCGCTACACAGGATGTGCTGTAAAGCATAGTGACTGTATTTTGTGGATGAATGCGGCAGCCAATTTTGATTTTACTCCATATCCAGGTGAAGGCTGTTAAAAGTGGACATATTTTGGTCATTGATGAAGCTGACAAGGCACCGACTAATGTAACTTGCATCCTTAAAACGTTAGTGGAAAGTGGAGAGATGATTCTTGCTGACGGAAGAAGAATTGTTGCCAGTAAGTGCTGATCAAATACCTTTTTCTAAAATTCAAGGAGAATCTTACCGAAGAATTGGCAGCATTGAAAGAAATCAGACAACAGTTATTTTGTGAAACAGAGAGGATTATTATGCGCCAATTGTAAACCATGCGTATTATTCACCAAGTATAAATCCACAAGTATAGAGGAAATTATGGTTGTCCTTAATTAGGTAATTAACAGCCTATAATTCCCTCTATGTTTACACATGATTTACACATGATGCATAATAGATGCCAGGGCCACATTAAAACTTGAAAGTCTAGTTCTATGGAATTATATTCCAATGTATTTCTGTGACTAGCATACATTTTGTATGTGACAGCTCTGTTCATAGTCTGGAGAAATAACACTTTGACAATTTTGACCATTTAAGCACACCTTTTCTTAAGGTTTAAATTGCATAGAATTTTGTACAAATCATGCAATTCCAGTCTTAATCTGGAAGGCGGATTTCCACAGTTCTTAAAAAGACCGACTTTCAAATTAAGACTGAACTTAAGAATTTTACACAATTAAATTCTAAGACAAAATGGGTTTCCAGTCACAGACGAGATGGAGGTTTGGGGTTCCAGGGTCATGCGAACCATGAACATATCCTTTCACATACTCTGGCTCACGACTCTTTATGGGTATTGGCAACAAGCCCATACAGACCAGAATGTCGCAGGATTGAAACCCGTGCTGGTGTTATCTGGAGTAGTATTTGGGTTGTTAGAATTGGACCCGGGTTAGAGAGGGGAAAATCGGCCAGGGTTCCATGTTCCTGATCACTCTCCAGAGACCACAATGCAAGACAAGTGTCTATTCGGATTTCCATGTGAAGATGGGATCAGGTTCGGCTGTGATGACCCTGTGGTAAAATCGCCTATTAAGACTCACGGTCCAGATTTACAAACCATGCGAATAATGTTCACATTGGGCAAGTTACTGAAGAAAGAAAAATGCCTTCAGGACCAATAGTAATAATATAATAATAATAATCCTTGCATTTGATATAGCACCTTATCACGTCTTTGAGACGTCTTAAAGTGCTTCAGAGAATATACTGTAAAGTGAATTGACTGTATTTTGTGGGGAAACAATTGTGCACAGTAGCGTCCCACAAACAGTCATGGATTGAAATGACCGATTTATTATTATCCCTAGTAGAGACTATGGAGAAAATTGGAAACACAAATTAATCATGGGAGGAAGGGGGAAGAGGCTGATTTAGCTGCTGTGTATTTCCAATAGTTTCTGGTTTTCTGTCAGATTTCCATCATCAACATTTTTTTGATCTGAATTTTTTCCGATAAGCAGTGTGTTGTTTTTTAAGTCAATCCATTCTATTTGAACAACTCAACATCAACCTTCTGCCATTGTTAAGTGCTCTGAGACCCTACCCTGCCTGAATGGCACTATATCAGTGCAAGTTATTGTTGTATATAGTGACATGAATGTCGTATTGTGATAACAATTTTATAAATTTATGCTTCAGATCCAGCTGAAGCAGAAGGAAGATCTGATGTGATAGTAATTCATCCGGATTTCCGAATGATAGTTCTGGCAAACAGACCAGGGTTTCCTTTTCTGGGTAACGACTTCTTTGGTGCTTTAGGTAAGCTGTGTGGTTCAGTGCTCAGTACCCTTTATATTCATTTTTTTTAATGTTTCCCCGATTTCAATCGGGAAGCCTGAAACCGGTTGAGAAACAAGAATTGCAATATTGCAGCTCTTTTTGAGTGCTCAGATCATTGTGTCGTAAGTTATTTTATTTCCCGTGTTGTGGCTTTTACTACCATTTAGACTAATTCTGTGTTTGATATCTTTGCATTGTTGGGTTTATTACAAGGGCAGCCTTGCTATACCTTGTGGCTTGTGCTACCCACCAGGTTGTCAAGGGAGCAAGTAATGGCAAAGGTGATGGTAGACAAGTGCACTTTGTGTTCTTGGTGTGTGATAATAACAACACAATTAGTCCAATGACTATGAAGTCTTTTGCCATTCTAAATGACGATAGATTACATTGCCAAATGTTGTGTCTTCATTGAACAATTCATCATTCGTAATGATGATTTTCTTTTGAACAGGTGATATTTTTAGCTGCCATGCAGTTGATAATCCCAAGCCAAACTCTGAACTAGCCATGCTGCGGCAATATGGTCCTAATGTCCCAGAAGCCGTCCTCCGTAAGCTTGTATCTGCCTTTGGGGAGCTGAGAAGTATGGCTGATCAAGGAATAATAACCTACCCATACTCAACAAGGGAAGTTGTAAATATCGTTAAGCATTTAGAGGTAAGCAAGCTCAAGGGAAAATTGCCAATGTATCCCTTAAAAACCTTGACTTCTTTTCTTGAGGAATTGTTCCACACATTCACCGCATCTAACCTCGACTACGCCAACTCACTGCTTGTCAGCCTTCCCAACTCTTCCCTCCACAAGCTGCAGATCATCCAGAACTCTGCAGCTGGTGCCCTCTTCCGCACTAGGCTCTGTGACTCTATTGCACCCACCCTCGCTCGGCTCCACTGGCTCCCCATCCCCCAGAAAATAGAGTTCAAAATCCTGGTCCTTGCCTTCAAGGCCCTTTATGGCCTGCTAACCCCATAACAACTTGTGCGCTCCCTCCGCTCAGCAGGCTCCAGCCTGCTTCCTGCACATGGCCTGCCCCACCATTGGCGGTCGGGCCGTCAGCCTCTCTGCCCCCATCCTCTGGAGCTCTATTCCACATTCCTTTCGCCTCACTCCTTCCCTTGCATTCTTCAAGGCAAGTCTCAAGACCCTCCTCTTCGAGCGTGCCTTCGGCCACCTTCGAACCCCTATCATCGCTGCCCTGCACCCTCCCTGATCCCAACCCCAGCTCGGGTCCAAATCCCTGATTGTCAAGCGCCTTGGAACGTCCTCCCGACTTGAAAGGCGCGATACAAATGTCATTTTGTATTTTAATTGTATTGTATTGTAATCTAGTTTTATCATAACAGGGAATGTATCTTTCTGGGTTCAAAGGACTCATGTCCATGTGATAGAAACATGTAAGAAGGTGTTAATCAAAACCTCCTTGGTCTACATTCTGCTGCTTTCTTTCTCCACAGAAATTCCCCAATGAAGGACTTGCCAACGTGGTTCGCAATGTGTTTGATTTTGATTCGTATAGTGGGGAAATGCGTGAAATTCTGATCAGCGCTTTGCACAAGCATGGGATCCCAATTGGAGCCAAGCCTACCAGCGTTCATCTGGCAAAGGAGTAAGCCTAAAATAGGAACATATAGACAAATTCTGCATCATTCTGATGCTTGTACAGTATTGTGCTGCTAATCATTTATAGACTGAGAAACATGGTATGAGCCCTTCAGTTAATAAACTAAGCAATTTCTCCACTTTGTTCAGCAAAGTGCTTTGTACTGATTTTAGCTTAAGTGTAATGTTTTACAATAAAGGGAAATATTTGTTTCTTCAATCTGCATGTTTGCACTTGTCCTTGTTTGAGTAGGTATTTATTGAAGTGGATTGTCACCAACTATAGCCACTGCAAATTTCTAAGCCTGCATGTGTTTTTTTTATCACATAACCTCTTCAAAATTGTTTGCTCATGTCTGTCTAGGCTTCATGGAACTAGCAAAATGCACCAAAATACCTGAGCATTTTTGATTCACAGTATTTGCTGAATAATAATAATCCTTGCATTTGATATAGCCCCTTATCATGTGGTCGAGACATCTCAATGCGCTTCACAGAATATACTGCAAGGTGGCAAAGTTAATTGACTGTATATTTTGCAGGTGAAACATAGCAGCCAATTGCACACAGTAGTGTCTCACAAACAGTCATGCATTGAGTGATCAAATTATTATTTGTTTTTTTGAAGGGGTTATTACCCTTTGAATAGATTTCAAAGTCTTACCAAAGGTTTCTACTTTACTGCAAGAGTGTTCCTGTTAATCCCTCCCCACCAAAACAGTAACTTTTACACATTGTAAATATGAACATCTGATAATAAAAGCAAAAATATTGTCTTGGAAGTTGTCCAATTGTTGAAATTGCACGTAAAGGCTGTTTCACAATATCACTAAGCAAATCACTAAGATAATCTAAAGAAACAAGTATTTCCCTTGAAATAAGTGAAAAAGAGAATTGTACATATGTTTTCCCTTGGTAGATTATGATTTCTCTACCCTGTTTTCTGAAATAGCTGATTAGACTGACCAGACGTTCAAATGAGTTTGCTGTGTTCTGAGACTATAAGGTCTTAACTATTGAATTTGAGGGATAAATAAGTCTCCTTTAGCTGTCTCATCATTATTCAGAAAGAGGTGCACAGTGACATTTTTCCTTAAAATCAAAAGTTGTCAAATCATTACATGTATAGGAAATGTCCAGCATTCGTTGACACCTGGAAGATGTTTGAAAGAGTATTATCTTTTAGAGAATTTTCGTGCTTGTGTGTAAACACGTTGAGAGTTAAATTAGTAAAGGATTCCTGGAACATATTGGCTAGAGCACTCGCCTCGCAAGTGAGAGGACCTGGGTTTGATTCCCAAGGTGGGGGGCGAAAGCTTGAGCAAGTTTCCTTACTCCACACACTTCTGTTTACTCAGCAATAAGTAGGAACCCGGCTGTTAGTCGATTGGCGGATCATTCAGTTCACAACTATTTGTAGGACACTGGTGTGCGCAATTGGTTGCCGCTTTTCGTCCACAAAATATACAATCAATTCACTTTACAGTATAATCTGTGAAGCGCTTTGAGACATTCGACGACGTGATAACTCTATCGTTCCTGCTCCTGACAGCTGAATCTGATTCACTACAACACCCTTCACCCTCTTTTCTCCCCTTATCCTGCTGCGTCTTATCATATCCAAGTTCCAAACTCAATAAGTGTTAGTTGCAGCTGGAAAGTTCAGTCAACTGTGCAGCTTGCTCCAGCGCCCCCGTTTGATATCATACTAACAAAGCAGTAATTCCTATGAAAAGCAGTGTTTCTGGGCTTCATTTGAACTCCCAAGAGTATACTCCGTACGAGGCTGAGGTTTCAGCAGATTCCATTGTGTAATTGCTTACAAACCTGTGCTGTTATGTGGACACAACTGAAATGCTTTGAAAAATTCCAGTGTTCTGTTTGCAGCTCGTGAAAACAAGACATTGAGCGAATCTGTCACGAGGCAAAAAAAAAAAAGCGAAGTGAGTAGATTAGATGAGTTCATCTCTTGCTGACATGAACTGGCAGGGAGAGAATTCCCCTCGGCACAGTTAGAGGTCTGTCAACAAGCCCTTTAGCCGCAATTGTAGCTAATTCCAGCATGTGAACTTAGAGCATGTCAGCAAATCAGTTTCACGTAGTAATTTTTGTACTAACTGTTTGGGTTTATCTGCGGCTGGAGACTAGTGTTTAGCAGACCTAAAGAGAGTTTCTTATGGTAGATTCCTCGCACAAGATGTGATCAGTTTTCATTCTTGTTCCCCGACAATACAGCAGTAGAGATGCTGCAATTTAGCTCAAGGTCCCTGAGCTGGAGAAGGGGAAAATCCTTCAGGTTCCTTACCTTGATTACCGCTACAAGGACAGTGTGTTTATGTAGCTATCGGGTGAGAACTGGCTGTGATGCTCTCCTCCCGGCCCCCCTCCACATTGTTGAACAACAACAACTTGCATTTACAACAATAAATTGCTTTATATAGCGCCCCCTCAGAGTAGAGTCCCAGAGCACAGGGTAATGTCCCAGAATAGCCTGATGACACTTATTGCCCAGGTTTAGACAGAAGGAATAGCCACAGAGATGAGGTGGGTAGATTTCACAACAAATCCACTTTGCAGTATATCCTGTGAAGTGCTTTGAGATGTCTCAACGGCGTGATGAAGCACTACGTCAAATGCAGGGATTTTATTATAAAATATATAACCAGCCACAGTCGTCGTCATCTGGGGAAGGAAGATTTCAAACAGAGAGAATTGTAGAGCTTATCTGCACTTATCAACTTCCCCACCCTTATTACTTTCTCTTTCAACCTTTATCTGTCTCAAGGAACAAATTCCTACGGAAAGGAATTCTCATGTAAAGTATGGCACCTTGGGACGTCCTCCCGACGTGAAAGGCGCTATACAAATGTAATGTTGTTGTTGTTGTTGGCACAGTATTAGGCCAAGGGAAAGCAATGAGTCAGAGAGTACAAAAGATTTAAAAAGTCAAAGGTGATTACAATATGGTAATTGTAGTGTGGAAATTGAGCTGTGATTGTGTATCCGTGTGTGTAAAAACAACAATTTCTATTTATATAGCCTTCGTCATGTTGAAAGAGCGCTTAAAAGAGAAGGGAAAATGCTAAGATGTACATTGTAATTAAAAACACAACCTTTCAGTTGGAAATAATAATGTGCTATTTTGTTTGAATCAACCACTGTCAATTTCAGCTGAAATAAAATGCCTTGGAGGGCACTAGCATAAAGTTCAGGAGAAGGTTATGCAATGGGATGGGATGTGCTCTTAAAGGGACAGATATCACCTGTGGGCAGCAACTATTAATTATTTTGCAGTGCTGTTTGTAGTTCGTTCAACATGAGAGTATTAATTCACTCAAAGTGAACTTTTTGTAATCTTTAATGCATTTTGCAGAAAAGTGATAGCATGGCCTGAAATCTGTCCTGAAATGCAGTTGTTCTCACTTGAATTGCAATGAAGGTCTCAGACCTATACCCTCCTCCTTTATGGTGCACCAAATACATTTAGTTTTCCTGTTTCTGGGAGCATCCTGACCCCTGGAGGTTACCTGTGATGCAGCACAGTCTGACAATCTGAGCTGGTTCATATAGAAATAAGATAATGGAGTCAGGGTGATTCAAATGACATCCAAACCAGGAGTGTGGCTAATTAGAGTGAGTGATTTATTGCTGCAAGAATGGGGTTGTACTGAGTGCATTTTGCATTGCTCTAATTTGTGACTGTTTGACAGGTTGCCTTTGCCAGACTGCAGTTTAACTGGTTACTGGACGTTCAACCAGTCAGGAAGCACGCAACAGAAGTTTCTTTGTCCCACGGCATCTCGGCAACTTACCATAAAGGTTTTACTGTCTTTTGGTATTTACTGTGCAAGCTAGCAATGTTAACAGTGCAAACGTTTAGGCCTGCTTACAAGATTTTCACTCCCAAAATCAAGCCTAATATAGACTAGAAATATTGCGATGTAGCGTTTTAATGCTACATTTATATTACTGGCAGTGAACCTACTTTGCTTCCAGCCCAGCAAGAAGCCTTGCTTATACTTCCTGCTCTACATCCCATTGGGCCCAATAAAAAAAACTAACCAAATTTGGAAGATATTTCTTAACACATGGTTATGAGAATGTCCAATATACTGCCCCAGGAGGTGGTAGATGGAGAATCAATTGGGATGTTTAAATGGAGATAGCTATTTTAGAAGTAAGAAGAAAATTATTGTGGGGAAATGGAGATAGCTATTTTAGAAGTAAGAAGAAAATTATTGTGGGGAAATGAGATTAAAAGAATGACCATGATCTCATAAAATTACACAATAGGCTGGATTGACTAAATGGCCTCCTCCTGTTCATTTGTTAACATGGTAAACTCTAAACTCCCTGATAACTCAATCCTATTGTTTTTTTAAAAAAATTGACGAGATGCTAACCCATTTAAACTCTTGTAACATTAAAAAGTCACTTGAAAGTTCATGGCCTGTTCATTAGCCCACCTGAGATCTTTCAAACATCTATCAGCAGTGGAGTCCAATAGAATTACTTAGAATCATGTGGTACAGAAGCAGGCTGTTCGGCCCAAATAGTCTGCCCTGGTGTTTATATAACAAAAATAGCTTCCACCCCTGTTATTTCCCCTCTTCTGTATTCCTCTAGTCCCTAATTCAATTTGTGGAGATCAGATTCAGCGTAGTGAGAATCAAACTGCTCTGAACCACCTTCTCCAGATGGTCCTAGGTTCCATGCTACTTCAACACCCTACATTGACTGATGAACCGTGGCTTAAATCAGGGTGGAATGTAGTACAGAGGCAGCACTAATGAAACACTTGTTCTAAACCACTGTGTAGCTGGAGGTGACCAACAGAGGTGTGGTACAATGAAAACCCTGGTGGTGTTTGTGACCACAGGAAAACAGACAGATCATACGTACTAGGCTCTGAGACTGATAATTGAATGAGGAATGTTTATTTTGAGGGAAAATAGCAAATATTGATCATATTGATAGAACTGAATTAATTCAATGATGCAATTGGAGTTCTGACAGTATATAAATAATACTCCCTCCAAAAAAAAAGTTCCTTTGTTATGGACGCTCAATCCCCATGACAGTTGATAGGACACTGCGCAATTGGCTGCCGGGTTTCGCCCACTAAATACAGTCATTCCACTTTTCAATATATTCTGAAGTGCTTTGAGACGCCCCAATGACGTGATAAGGCTCTATATTAAATGTAAGGTTTATTATTATCAATATAGCTCTTTGTAAAACAGTCATATTTTTGCAAATCAGGATTGGATTTTTTTTATCCAAAGGATGAACTTGTCAAATCGCAAGTTTTAGAGCAAACTAATAATTCTGTTTTCCCTGTGAATAGGGTCCCGTCCACCTGAAGGTTCAGCGCTATCCATTGGAGCGTCACGAGGCGAGGGGACTTGCCTTCACAGAGGAACAGGCTCACTGGAACATTCCTCTGCATGAAGTTAATATAGTCTGTGACGTTGCTGTAGCCAAAGGTATTACATTCTGAACTGAAGTTGTCACCTGCTAAGAGTAGGGTATCTTTACAACGATGTAGGTTATTAAGCAGAATAACTCTTCTGTTCTGGCCACTAGACGTTCACAGACTTCACGGTTTGTTGATGAAATCTGGAAAATTCTTGTATTAAATTAAAAGCGTCGTTTTTATTTCTCTTACTCTTGCACTCACCTTTAAATTCCATTCATTGTGGATTTTCCTGGCAAATGAATGGTTAAAAAAGCACTGTTTTATATGCTGTTATTTAAATCTGTCACTGTGCTGGCGGAGGAGTGGAGCAGTGAAAATGTTAGGTTCAGTCAATGATTGTAATGGCATAAAGGGAGCATCACACAGATGGAGTTACTTGGAGTGTTCCTTGTACGCACCATGCACTAGTTTTCAAAGTGCTAATTCCATCCACTTGGCATTGGTACAGGCAGAGAAGGCGTCTGGCCGAGGACCAGATCAGCCTCAGAAGTCTGAAACTATCCAGCGATAAACTATAATAATAATCCTTGCATTTGATATTGCGCTTTTTCATGTCTTCGAGACTATACTGTAAAGTGAATTGACTGTATATTTGTCGGCGAAACGTGGCAGCCAGTTGCGCACAGCAGTGTCCCACAATTGGTCGAGGTAATGAAAATTCATACCATGGTGGGCGAGAAAGAAATCTCAGTGAAGGGCTTCACCAGTCAGTAAAACACATGGGGTAACACAGACAGACAGTCTTAGAGTGTCTTGTGTTTGAATCACAGGTAGTGTTGAATTGTCATTGTCAGTCGGGGCAGCACTGCAGAGCAGGAAAATATCAGGCTGCTGTTGAATATGTGGCTGTGCTGGAGAGACAGACTGCCGCTGGATGTATCCATTGGCAGCTGCAGCTCTTCCCAAACAGTGAGCAGCACTATGAGGCTTAATGTCAGTTGGATTGCTCTAGAGTGCCTGGTTGCAGACAGGAATAAGAAGCAGCAAGGAAAGACAGGATGTGTGAGAATGTGGAATGCACTGCCTCACAAGGCTGTAAATGCCAAATCAATTGCAATGTTTGAAAGGGAGTTTAGTACTTACTTGGGGGAAGGAATGACATTAAGCAGTATAAAAAAAGGGAGGGAAATGGGATTAAAAGGTCTTCTATGATCTAATAAAATGGCGTATCAGGTTCGATGGGCTGTTGTAACCTCCCTCCTGTTACCATCTTACTAGGTGTGGGTTTCAAAATCAATGCTTTAATCATTCAATTGCTGTAGTTCAAATAAAACAGGGCACATTAAGTTTACATTTAGCTGCTTTTAAATTAAATTAATTTTGGATCTAGCTGTCCAGCCTTCAGAGATCATACAAAATGAGGCATCACTTTCAAACCGTTGATTCCTGCAGATGATACCAAAGAGACCATTTTTGTGGCTACCTGCAATCCGGTTTGCCTGTACTCAATGAGCGCAACTGGCAACACCGTATACCACATGGATCTGTATGATGTCTTCCCTCGCACAGCTACTGGCATCTGGCAGCCACTTGTGACACTTGCTCCACTGGGCCACTCTCTCCACAACCAAGTAGTACTTCACGAAGAGCAGGTACCACAGCTTTTTAAATGACAAGGACTTTAACAATCCTTTTTATTGTGTGGTGCTGTTCTGACATTATAATATTCTTATTATTATAATAATAACAATACCCTGTAATAATTCTTGCATTTGATATAGCGCCTTCTATGTTCTGTGCTGTGAATTTCTGTGAATCTGTGATACTCTTTGATATGAGAGGGGTTATTTCAATTGTAGGGATTATTTGCCGAATTAAAAGTTTTTGTTGTGAATTTGCACTTGCTAGGAACTTAGCATGTACCTCCCAAACTCATCTCATGAATATGGATAAGGAGTCTGGATTATTAAATTTAAAGATAGAGACATTGAAGGAATCTAGTGGGAAATTGAATGTGTGGGTTAAATGGACCTATGCTCTGCCACTTGCAATTGTTGCTACGTTATCCTGCAATATAGGATCTGCTCCCTCATCTTTTGACAATTCTGTTGACATTAACATGGTTCTGGATGAAAAAGAAGCAGCGTTTAATTGTTCTCAGTAATATTGTCAAAATATTCTCTTGGTTACCGTTGTTTCTTTTGAGTAACAGGTTAATTGGCTGAACAGTTTTTTTTATTTACTGTGTGTGCAAACTGGTCAAATCTTCCTCTTCGGTTTGGTTCAATGATGTGATCCATGACACATGTCTGATCAGTAGAGGTACATTAGCCAGAGTGTTTCCCTTTTGGTCAGGCTGGTAAGTGACACCTGCGGAAACCAGGCTTAAGAGTATCCAATGTGGGAATTCCACATTTGTGTGCAATCGTGTTTTTTTGAATAATAATAATAATCCTTGCATTTGATATAGCGCCTTATCACATCGTCTCGGCATCTCAAAGCGCTTCAAAGAATATACTGTAAGTGAATTGACTATATTTTGTGGGTGAAACGCAGCAACCAATTGCACACAGCAGTGTCTCATAAACAGTCGTGGATTGAAGTGGCCAATTTTTTTTGAAGTAATTATTACACTCAGAAAAGCAATCCACCAATCAACTAACAACCGGGCTCCTACTTACTGATAGGTAAACAGGCGTGTGGAGTAAGGAACCTTGCCCAACGTTTTGCCCTGCCAGGAATCAAACCCAGGTCTCTGGTTTGCGAGGCGAGTGCTCTAACCACTGAGCTACAGGACTTCAGTTAATGCACCACTCTGATCCATTTTGATTCCATTAGGTAGAAACAATGACATGTTGTTAAAATGCAGTTATCATGCAATGCCAAACCTGATGAGGAGCTTGGATTAAATAATTTGTTTTAAATTGTAATACAGTACATCTATTTACTATTTAGAGTAAAGGGAACTGCCAGATGTGATGTACCAGGATTGTAGTTTTGCAACGTTTCTTCAGACAGGAAGAAGGATCTTTACAGTTACTAAAAATAAAACAGCATAAAATGTAATCTGTCAGAGTGCAGAATTCCAGATGCCAGGATCGCAAGGCCATCCAAGGGTTATCCCTCTCCCAGTCGAGTGAAAGCATAAACAGGAACCTGTGACCAAATCCCCTTCCCCCAACACACCTGAAGGCCTGCCAACCAAGGGAGCCAGAGTCAAAGAGTGATTTATTCACAAACTGTGTAGGACTCTATTTATGGATACTGACGCAAGACACCATCTGTCCTTTCAGCACATCAGGAAGCTATTGAAAAAATGTAGGCAGGGAACGGTGGGGGTGGAGGGGGAGCTGAAGCAGTTGTTGGTTACCCGCCACACACAGCCCGTAGATTTAGCAGCAGCATTGCAATGTAAAGTTTAGTAGAGAACCTATTAAAGAGAGTTAGCAGGAATGCCAAATAATGCTGCTACAACAACAACAACAATATAACAAGATTACATTTGTATAGCACCTTTCACGTCGGGAGGACGTCCCAAGGCGCTGGACAGAGTACAGCATTTCAGACCCGAGCTGGGGTTGGGGTGAGATGGGAGGGGAGGGGAAGGGGGGTGACCGATGGCATGGTCGAAGAGGAGGGTCTTGAGGCGGGACTTGAAGGAGGCTAAAGAGGGGGCTCTGAAGGATAGGGAGCCAATGGAGTCGGGCGAGAGTGGGGGAGATGGGGTCACGGAGTTTGGTGCAGGAGAGGACACGGGCTGCAGAGTTCTGGATCATCTGCAGCCTGTGGAGGGAGGAGTTGGGAAGGCCGACAAGCAGGACGTTTGCAGGGTTGAGCCTGGAGGTGATGAAGGCATGAACAAGAGTTTCAGCGGCCTGAGGGGTGAGGTAATGGCGGAGTTGGGCGATGTTACAGAAGTGAGGGAAGGCAGAGTGGGTCATGGCTTGAATGTCGTGGAGAAAAGACATTTGAGGGTCGAACAAGACACCCAGGTTCCTGACTGGCTTGGTGAGTTGTAGTGTGCAACCATGGAGGTTGATGCCAGAGCCTGAGGTGCTGAGGCGCTGGGGTGAGCCAATCAGGAGGGCCTCAGTCTTGTTCACATTCAACTGTATGAAATTTGCCCTCATCCAGGACTTGATGTCCAACAGACAGTCTGTCAGGACAGCAGTGGTCCTAGAGTTGAGGGTGGAGGCAGAAAGATAGAGTTGGGTGTCATCCGCATACATGTGGAAGTTGACCCCATGTCTGCGGATGATGTCACCAACAACAACAACAACAAGATTCCATTTATTGAGCGCCTTTCACGTCGGGAGGACATCCCAAGGCGCTGGGGGAGCACGTAGATATTAAGGAGGAGAGGGTCAAGGACAGAGCCCTAGGGGACGCCAGATGTGACAGTGTGGGGGCTGGAGGAGAAACCGTTTGAGGCAACGAAGTAGAGACGTTGAGAGAGATAGGAATCGAACCAATCAAGGGCAGATCTGTGAAGATTGAGTAAAGCGGAGAGGTGGTGTATTGAGGATGGAGTGATCGACAGTGTCGAAGGCGGCTGATTTGAAAATGCTGGAAGGTCACGATGGGTCCGTCGGTATCTGAAAGAAAAGCAGATTTGTTGCGTTAATTGCGATCTTGCGTATCGCCAAGCAGCTTTTGTCAACCTAGCATCTTATCTCGTGGAATGTCGTGTATTATACCCATTCTGTCATCAGGAGGTGAGGTTGAATTTTCCAGCATAATTCTTATTTGATACTTGAGGAATTTCTAAATATAGGTGGTAAATTCGACCCCAGTAAGTCCACAATGACAGGACAGATGGTGCAGTGCAATGCTCCCTTTATTCCACAAGTGAGGACGATTCTGACTGTAGCTCGCTTATGACCTTGATTCATGAAGTGCCAAAACCTTTAGCATGTGGGCATTCACCCAGTGCCTCCTTCCCCCAGTCTGTTCTGTTTTATGTAACAGGTGAAGGAAAACTATACACAATTGTTTAATTTTGGTAAGGATCATTACGAAAGAAGGGAGCGTATTAATATTCCTCCCACTGGATTTGGGATCAGGATGTTCTGTATTTAAATCCCAGTAGGTTCAAACAGGCTGCCATCCTTTAGAGATCTGTAAAACGAATTCCAAGCTAAAAATATAATAATAATCCTTGCATTTGATATAGCACCCTATCACATCTTTATATCCTCAATGGGAAGGAGGTGGGTGTGGGGGCCAAGCAGAATGAATTGGCTGCAAGGAGGCTATTGAGTAAATGGTCCCTAATATGGAGTAGTTCTGGTTGACAAGTGCCATACTGTACTGGTGTTATTCTACTTCCCTTATTCTCTCTTGTGTCTGGAAAGCTCCTTTTCATTCTTTGCTATGCTCTCCTGGCCACCTTGTTGAAAAGGGATGAAGTATTACAATCACCAACCACACTATTGCATCTTTCAGATGTGTTTCACAGAAATAATGTGAATATTTTGCTTCAGGTCTTTATACAAAGACAATGTGGTCCATTCTCACAGTAAACCATGTGCACACCGTGCGTAAACACAGCTGCAATGTGCACCATTTTGTGGAGGGAGTTTATTTAGAGTGCCTTAATTATGCCATAATGAGCAAATCATTAGTTGTTATTTGCATCGTTAAGGACACCGACAGTTTCCTCTGTACACATAGGTTTGTGCATAGCACAAAACAGAGCTGTGTTTACACATAGTTTTCACATTCAGCGAAAATAAACTGCAGTAACATTGCCAAATGTACTGCGAGCGATTGTGGAGAATGGACCATTGCCTCATCTCTATTTTCCTACTTCATCTCCACAGCACTGTATTCTGTATGTGGTGCTATTCCCGCACAGGAGCTGTTGAATTTATAACAATGCTTTGAGAGGAATCTCACAATTTTGTCACCTCCGTGTGATGCATGTTGGAGTTTTAGAAATACTTTATCTGCAAAGATGTTAGCAAAATGCCTGTTGTATAAGCTGTTCATATTATTTTCGTGGTCATAAATTATCCCAGCAATGAGCTGCCCATTGTTACACACTCAAAGTGATGACACCAGGGAGGCTGGATGTTCTTTGTAACGGTTGAGGGATTGGGAGTGAACTGACAGCTGCTCAAACATCCACCTGAAACTCAAACTGAATTAAAAAAAACTGACCTAAAGCTGAATAAAATGACAAATAACAGTAAGTGAGTGCATCGCATACTAGTAAATGCTAATTCAGCATATTGTCAATAAAAACAGACTCCACTCCAAGTATCTGCTGGTGACCCACTATCACTTGGCATTTTTATTCAGTTTTTGGTAAAAAAAAATTCTCTCAGTTTACTCCAAGCCCTTGACCATTACAAAGAACACCAACAACCGTGCAGTTGATTACATAGATCTAGGGAACGCCACTGCAGACCCAGATCATGTTAGAGCAGAGAGCTGGCTGATCGGAGTGCTGCTTATCTGGACGTCAGCAGTTTGTGTCTTGGAGTCACTGTTATTGACTCCAGATCCGATGATTTAAAACAACAATTGATTCTTCTTCAGAGCAACGTGATCCTGGTGCTAAACCTGGGCAATGGTGCTGTCTCTCGAGTCCTCTTCCCCGGAGAGCGACAGGAGTTTCCGAAGAAATCAAAGTGGTGGATGAACAAGGAGGATCAGGTCAGTATCTAGCCTTCAGCATGCGAACAGAACTCGACAGAAGTCCTCACTTTTCAGGCTTCCAATAGACCGAAAGAGGGTCAGAAGCGTTGGTTACAATTCTTAGTTTATTCTTAGTTGATTCTTTTTTATAGCAATTTTTACCATGAAAAATATGGATATGGAAAATGGTGTCATTTAAGGTCCAGATGTGTAATTGCAAAGAGGTTTAAGCAGGAACCCACTCAGGGAGTCGTCTAAAGACCTTCCTCTTCGACTGTGCTTACAGTCATCTCCCCTCTCCCTCAAGCTCGACATCAAGCTCTGCCATTGTTAAGCGAGACACTGCCCTGCATTAAGGGCACTGAAGAAATGCAAGTTGTTGTTTGACCAAAATTGATTCATCCTGTACTGAGAAATAGAATCATTCGTAATGCTAACAATAAATAATAATAGTAATCCTTGCATTTAGTATAACCATGACTTACCAAAGTGCTTCACAGGATATTTATTGTAATGTAGTGTTTGTGGGCATGATAATTGATTATAGGACTGACTGTTTAAAAATAATGTAACTGACTTGGCGCCAGTTTGGCAGAGCTCTGCTTACTCTCCTCAGCCACCAAACAATGTTATTTTAGCAAGAGTTATATATAAATAGAACTTTCCAATCTCTTTTCTGGTGGTAATAAGAGGGAATCTCTCCTATTAGTATGAGCTGGGCATTTTTGGGTACTTATTTAACTACAACATCAACAACTTGCATTTATATAGCACCCTCCACGCAGGGTAGCATCTCAGAGCGCTTAACAGTAGTGGAGCCTGACTCCGAGCCGGGGTGGGGGAGGGGGGAGGTGACCGTAAGCACGGTCGAAGAGGAAGGTTTTCAGGCGGGACTTGATAAAGGGGAGAGAGGGGGCAAGGCGGAGGGATTGAGGGAGAGTGTTCCAGATTTTCGGAGCTATGATGACTGTATCATAGCAGAACGAATAAACAACATTGCTTTGGAGATTCTGAGGATGCTAGAAAAGCAAAGTTCAACCGGTTTGCAGGAAATTGCGACAACAACAACTTGGATTTATATAGCGATCTCCATGCCGGACGGCGTCTCAGAGCGCTTCACAGTGACGGATCCTGGGGCCGAGCCAGGGGGAGGCAGTCGAAGGTGACCAAAGGCGCGGTCGAAAAGAAAGGTCTTCAGCAGAGACCTGTAAATAGGAAGAGAGAGGGCGAGGCGAATGGAGTGAGGAAGGGAGTTCCAGAGCCTCGGGGCATAGTGGCTGAAGGCACAGCCGCCGAGGGTGGAGTGGAGGACTCAGGGAACAAGGAGGAGGCCAGGCCCGGAGGAACGAGTTCGACCAGCCCTAAATATTGTTTTTCTGATGTAGTTTTTCTTTACATCTTGGAATGTTTCCTGTTCTAGATAAATACCATATGACAGGAAGTGTTCAGGAACACTGTACCGGATCTGAATTGTTGTGGTTGTACCTGACAGGTGGGGAGAGAGTTTTGAGAACATTAGACATTAATGAGAAAAGGAAAACCTTTCAGCCCATCAACCTATTCATCCACAGCCTTAATGACCCGCAAATGTCTACTTGCCTCGAGGGTTATCTCTTGGGGTGGGAGGTGGGGAGGGTGCAGCAATTTCCATTGGGTTTGATCTCAGTGGGGGTAGGTTCCATACTATTCACATCAGAGTGTTGTCTCTCAGTTTCTTTGTGGAGAGGTCACAGATGCCTAGTCACGTTCTGGGGAATGGTAACAGACACCGTCGGGACATTTGTGTACATTTGTCAGGATGTGAACTCTCTGTGGATGGGGTCAACATGCTCCTGATCTGCAGTCTTTAACTTTGCATTGAGTATGAAACTGTTCAGATACAATGCACCCTGATTTACAAGCGGATGACATGTTTAAGCAAGAAGAGTTTAAGCCAGTAATATTGATGCACTTTTATTTTTTTCCCCAATAGCAGAATGTTTACAGAATGTGCAAGGAGTTTTCACACAAAAATTGGCTAGTGTTCTACAAAAAGCAGGGGTAAGGATTTTTTTTCTATTATAGTTCATTGATTGATTGTGTTTATAAGAAATGTATTCTCAAAAGTATTAATATCCAGGGAGAAAATGAGCTAGAAGCCTTCCCCCCCACCTTTTCCAGCCCCCAGATAAATATTAGCTCCCTTAATTCAAAACAGTACAGATTTAACTATTATATAGTGCATTTCACGTCGTCGGGAGGACATCCCAAGGCACTGGACAGTTGAGGGTTTGCACCCAAGTTGGGGGTGGTGGATGAGGGGGGTAGGGGGGGAAAGATGACCAAATGCGCAGGATCTGGAGGCGGACCTTGAAGGAGGCAAGGGAAGGGGAAAGCCACAGAGACTTCGGGATGGAGTTCCAGAGAGCGGGGGCAGATAAGTTGAAAGCCTGACCATCAATGGTTGGCAGGTGGAGCGGGGAATGTGAAGCAGGCCAGTGGCTGCTGAGTGGAGGAAGGGACTAGGTTGGTAAAGTTTGAGGAAATCGCAGTGGTACGGAGGAGAAAGACCATAGAGGGACTTAAAGGTTAGGATGAGGATCTTGAATTCAATCCATTGGATCCTGAATAGTCAGTGGAGTCGGGCTAGAATGGGGGTGATTGGCTCTCAGAACCTAGTGCGAGAGAGGACATGAAAGAACATTTAAAGGCTCAGTTGGTAATTTTGTTGCCCAGAGTAATTTGATCCATTTAGATTTGATCTCTGGATTCTGGCAAGTTAACTGATCTCAGACAGGATAGCAATGAGTGCTGCAAATAGCATAGCCAAGGCCAAGATGAAGAAATATGTGCCAGGGTTCTCTCCTGATCACTCACATGGAAAGTGTGTGTGTACGTTTGTCTGTGTGTATATTTATGAATGCATTTGTGCATGTATGTTTGTCCGCGTGTATCCATGTGTGCATTTGCGTGCACCTGTATATTTGTGCGTGTGCATGTATGTGCGCACATATTCCATTTGTGTATGTGCATACATACGAGAGTGTGTACCTGGTGAGTGTACACACGTGAATGTTTACTCATGAGTGAGTGTATACACGCGAGTACCTGGAGTATGAACAGTAGGTTGTGGAGACCTGTAGCTCAGTGGTTAGAGCACTCGCCTTGCAAGCGAGACACCTGGGTTCAATTCCAGGCAGGGCGAAACCTTGGGCAAGTTTCCTTACTCCCCACACCTAATAATAATCCCTCCAAAACAAAACAATAATAAATTGGTCATTTTCAATCCACGACCGTTTGTGGGACACTGCTGTGCGCAATTGGCTGCCGCGTTTCGCCCACAAATATACGGTCAATTCACTTTACAGCATATTCTGTGAAGCGCTTTTGAGACGTCGAGAAGACGTGAAAAGCGCTAAATCAAATGCAAGGATTATTATTATTAGGTAAGCACAGATGTGGCTCTAACTTTGGTCGATTAACCTATTAACACTCACTGTTTGAACTCATAGATGAAGACAACTTGGGTGAGGTATGGGAGGCGACTTATGGCCATTTAATCTTAACGGATCTAAGATAAATAGGGAAATTATTCTCTTTAGTTGGGGATTTGGTTGCACAGGGGCAAAGTCTCGGGATTCTTAGCAGAAGAATAAAGATTAAGATTAGAAGGAATTTCTGACCTCAGGTGGTTGTTAGGGTTTGGAATTTATTACCACAAGAGGCTATTGACGCTCAAGTTAATTGAATCATTCAAAAGGAAACTGAAAAGGCAATTGAGCAGATACATTTTAATCAGTTTGAGGAAAGAGTTGGAAAGTGGAAAAATATTTTAAAAAGGAGACTTAGGGAAACAAGTGACAGTGGCCCAGAGTCAAGAGGTCAAATAAACCCTTCTGGGCTGAATATTTCTGTTTGTAAAACAGATTTGGTGGTATAGTATAGTTATTACGTGGAATATGTTAACTGCAATCCATTGTCGACTGGTTTTGGTTGTGAACATCATAACTTCAGTGAAGTACGTGGGCCCATAGAGACTGGTGCCACCTGCTTTACTCCCATTGGCGATCACTGTCATTGTTGTGTTCAACCACGTAGAATGGTGTTTCACTGTCGCTTGGTGGATTATAAACCTCATTCAATCTAACTCACTGTCTGCCATGCCAGCAGGAATGGTAATGATAGTGCTTGGTCCAACTGAAGATGGGTGAGAACAGGACAATCTGACATTGATTCTGTTATTAATTATAGTGTTTCTCCATTACTCTATTCAATGCAAACGTGAGCAGACAATCACTGAAAGAATATATTTGTGCCTTGCAGGAATTCCCTGGATGTGCTGGATGTTCTGGAGGGTCGTGCTTATTCCATAACTCTGCCCATCAATATCAAGTCTGTTTTTCTCGTGGCTGAAGACAGGTGGCTGGTGGTGGAAAGTAAAACCAACAAGTGAGTTCAGTACTATTTTTTCTTATCTTTTAATAATACACTGGGGATTCCTATAGCCTTTCCAGTCAGTGAGCTGGCACCAGCACAAGCACGATGGGTCAAATATGCTGTAAAATATTCTGTATATTAATTATCATTGCATTTGATATAACGCCTTATCAAGTCTTCCAGACATGTCAAAGCACTTCACAGAATATACTGTAAAGTGAATTGACTATACTTTGTGGGTGAAACTTGGCAGCCAATTTCGCACAGCAGTGTCCCACAAATAGTTGTGGATTGAGTGATCAATTTATTATCATTAATGTTTTTTGAAAGCATTATTACCCCCGGAACAGCGATCTGCTATTCGACTAACAGCTGGGTTCCTACTTGCTGCTAGATAAACTGAAGCATGTGGAGTAAGGAAACTTGTCCAACGTTTCACCCTGCCAGGAATCAAACCCAGGTCTCTCGCTTGCGAGGCGAGTGCTCTAACCACTGAGCTAAAGGACTCAAAGTCATCCTTTCAACACAAACACACACACACACCCAGCTACAAGGAAACAAGTCTTATTCTTATTATTTCTCAGGAAGTTCCTGCTGACTAAACCGATGCACATTGAGTCTGACATGTCCGGAGTTTGCCAGCTGCATGAAGTAAATGAAGAGCCGGTCAGCACAGGATTTGGATTGACAGCAGGTATATGCTTTACTCAGAAATGAAAACATACAGGACACATCTGCTCATATTTGTCCTCTTGCATGTTACACCTGGCAACTTTACATCATTCTTTTAAGTGTGGGCTTGCATGAGTGTGCGTATGTGTGGTGTGTACGTGGGTGTGCTTTGCTGTGACGTGTGGAACTTTCAACCAATGACACCAAATCTGTTTAAAAAGGCTGCCTTGCCAGTACAGTGACTGAGAACCCTTAGTTTAAACTTTAACCCTTGATTTAGTTAAATAATAAAATGTAATAAGGCTGGAAGGTTGAAACGGTAATTGTGCAAACTTTGAAGATGTGCACTTATAATAGATTTTCTCATTATATGTTACGACTGCTTACATGTTTCTTAGATTTCTAATCCTTGCAATACAAAATTAAGTGAGGAGTAATGGTGTCCATGTGTTTATGATATGTCACATCTCTAATATCACAGTCGCATAGTAGGGTATCTGATGTCTCGCTGACTCACATCGAATTGACTGGAGCTGGGATTTTTCTCAGGGTGGGGAGTAGGGTTTTTGGGAGATTTTTGTCTTTCGCACATTAGTTTTGAGTTCACCCAGATCAATGATCACCACAAAAAGCTTGGGGAAAGAAAGCAAAAATAAATCAATTTAAATCACTGAAACAATATTAGCTTGATTAATAAAACGGATAACCTAAGATATGGGCGCGCTGGGACATCCTCTTGATGTGAAAGGCGCTATATAAATGTCAATTTGTATTGTATTTTAGTGTTCCGAGATGCCACCCGCGTAAAGGTGCTAAATAAAGTTGTTGTCATTGTATGATACTTGGGCAGATGTCAATGCAACATTAAAATCCTGTAGTGTCAGCACTTGTGTGCATTGTGGGTTCAGTGGTAGAATTCTCTCCTGCCACGTGGAAGACCCAGGTTTGATTCCTGGCTGATGCAAAGTATTTAGACTTGTGTGGCATATAACCCCGGCATTGATTAGTGGGATTGAATGACCCGTTTCTGTCCTGTGCCATCTGTGTAAATACCCACCATCATTCATCTCATTCAAGTTGGTGATGTTTTGTGGCCCTGACTCCTTTATTCCCTATTTTACTCTCTTCTTCGCTAACATTTTGCTAACACGCCCACAAAATATACAGTTAATTCACTTTACAGTATATTCTGTGAAGTACCTTGAGATGTCTCGAAGATGTAATGAGGCGCTATATCAAATACAAGGATAATGATTATTATTAACACTGTTTTTCCCCTCTTTTATTTTAAGCTCTCGAACTGTCAAACCCTTCTGCAGTGTCAGCACAAGAGTTGCCACCGGAAAACCTGAGTGCAGCTCTGGACCAGACAATTGCATCTCCAAACAGGATTCTCTCGGATAATCAGAGCTATGCAACCATTATAGTTGGATTTCCAGATTTATTGGTAAGGCCGAGATTGAAGGAAGAAGTTTAGGTTCCTTACGACATTTAGGTGCAGAGGTAAAAGTGTAGACCAGCACTAGGTCACACAGACTAAAAAAGTTACAGGTTTGAATCCTGACCTGTGCTGATCACAGCAGTGTGGGTGATAAAATTGGGCTCAGTCCCCTTGGGTTTGAGAGGGTGGAAAAAAATCATCCAGTGTTCTCACTTCTGTTCGCGTTGCAAAGACTCCTTTGGAAGGTGCGTTTCTAAGGAAGTTCAGTGAGGACAGGATCAGGGTTGGCTGTGATGCCTCATTCCCCCACCACAGTTGAACAGTCAAAGTGTTCAACAGTCACTGCGTAAATAATAGCCACTTTGGTAACTTTCTAGAGAAACAGTTGATCCAATCGGAACTGGCTAATGCTTGAAACTCGGAACAGTTAACGCATTAGATACCAGAGGGCACCTGAAAACTGGTGGAACTGTTAACCTAGTAACTGTTAACTTGTAACTTAGTTAACTTAACTAAGGAGTAAAAGGTAAAGGAGTAAAATGTCCGCAGGTTGAGGTGAAGGGAGGAAATAAAGAAAATATTTTTGGGGACATTCTTGTTGAAAGCTACATTCCTGCTGATGGACTCATTTAATTTATTTTTATTTTTCCCCTTTTCCTGCACTACATGTCCACCAACCTATTCCCACAACATCCACTAATGAAACTTAACGCTGCAGTCTCCCAACGAGGTGTACTCATGGAAAAGGTCGGCACCACTGGACAATACAGGGACAAATTTGCCAACAGATATGATCTATGGGAATCGGATATCTGGGAAAGTGAAACAGAGAAACTGTGTAATCCTGACAGGAAGCAATCAGGTGATCCGAGCTGTGGCTGCCAGAAAGGTGCCTTTGAGTCAAATCTACTCACAAGGTTTGTATGTCTTACAAGGTACCACAAGGTTAAGCACTCTGGATCACTACCCCTGCTTGATGGGCCTATATAAATGCAAGTTGTTGTTGTGTGGTATTAATGTGCTTCATACCGCCCTTTTAGGTAGGCGCAGTTCATGTGTCAGTCACAAGGTTGCCTCGCCTTGCTTCCTCCCTTTCCTCCTTCAAGGCCGGTCTCAAGACCTTTCTCTTTGACCATGCCTTCAGCTCCCCTCTCGACTCTCTACCCCCTCCTCACTCCCTCCCTCCCCTCACCCTGACCATTTCCCCCCTGCTCGGGTCCTGACCCAACTGTCCAGCGCCTTGGGACGACCTCCCGACGTGAAAGGCGCTCTATAAATGAAATCTTGTTGTTGTTGTGGGTTCAAGGCCCACGATGGGATTCTAAGCTCATAGACCTGCCCAAAATCGAGGGAATCCACTCAGCTGCCACTGCCCTCCCAACTTCCAACCCCTCCCTAACCCCACCCAACACAATACCCATCCGACAATTTCCCATCCCTCCTTCCACACCTTTGAACCTGTCACCCCCTCCTCTATCTTCAACACGGTAACCTCTATGAAATCCACCACCTGCTCTCTCGACCCCATCCCTATCCCTCTCCTTAAATCCCAGCTCCAGCTCCTTGCCCCACTACTCGCCGACATCATTAACCTCTCCCTGTCATCTGGCACTGTTCCTTCCCCCCTCAAAACAGCCACTATGAAGAAACCTTCCCTTGACCCATCACAGCTATCTAGTTATCGGCCCATCTCAATCCTCCCCTTCCTATCCAAGGTCTTTGAAGTAGCCGTTGCCTCCCAGCTTCTCTCTTTCCTCTCCTCTCACTCCCTCCATGAACCCCTCCAATCGGGTTTCCGGGCTGCCCACAGTACGGAAACTGCTCTGGTCAAAGTCACAAAAGACATCCTGACCATGTGTGACCAGGGTTCCCTCTGCCTCCTCGTCCTCCTTGACCTCTCTGCCGCCTTTGACACCATGGACCACTCAATCCTCCTCCACCGCCTCTCCTCCCACTTTAACCTTCAAGGTTCTGTCCTTGACTGGTTCAGGTCCTACCTTTCACACCACCTCCACTTCGTTGCGGCAAAAGACTTTTCCTCCAGCCCCCACACTGTCTCGTGTGGTGTTCTTCAGGGCTCTGTCCTCGGTCCCCTCCTCTTCACCCTCTACATGCTCCCCCTTGGTGACATCATCCGCTGACATGGGGTAAATTTCCACATGTATGCGGATGACACCCAACTCTACCTCTCTGCCTCCAACCTGAACTCCAGGACTACTGGTGTCCTGACTGACTGCCTGTCCGGCATCAAGTCCTGGACGAGGGCCAACTTTCTCCAACTCAACGTCAGCAAGACCGAGGCCCTCCTGATTGGCTCGCACCAACACCTCCACACCTCAGGTGCTGGCAGCATCAGCCTCCATGGCTGCACACTCAACCTCACCAAGCCAGTCAGGCACCTGGGTATCTTGTTTGACCCTGAACTGTCCTTTCTTTCCCACATCCGCGCCATGACCGGCACTGCCTACCACCACCTCCGCAATATTGCCAGACTTCGCCACTGCCTCACCCCTCAGGCTGCCGAAACCCTCACCCACGCATTCGTCACCTCAAGGCTCGATTACGGGAACTCCCTCCTCATCGGCCTTCCCAACTCTTCCCTTCACAAGCTGCAGATCATCCAAAACTCTGCAGCTCGTGTACTCTCACACACCAGGCTCCGTGACCCCATCACTCCCACCCTCGCCCGACTCCACTGGCTCCCCATCCCCCAGAGAATCGAGTTCAAGATCCTCGTCCTCACCTTTAAGGCCATCCATGGCTTTGCCCCTTCCTATCTCTCTGACCTGCTGACTCCCTACCAACCTGCCCACTCCCTCCGCTCATCAGGCTCTGGCCTACTCCATGTCTCCCGCCCGATCCGCCCTACCATCGGAGGCCGGGCTTTCAGCCTCTCTGCCCCCACATTCTGGAACTCCATCCCACGGTCCGTTTGCCTCGCTTCCTCCCTTGCCTCCTTCAAGGCCGGTCTCAAGACCCTTCTCTTCGACCGCGCCTTTGATCTCCCTCCCACCTCTCTGCCTTCCCTCACCCCTACACCACCCATCCCCTATGCTCAGGCCCCGACACCTGACTGTTTAGCGCTTTGGGACGTCCTCCCGATGTGAAAGGCGCTCTATAAATGTAATTTTGTTGTTGTCTGTTGTCCAGTGTAGTCCTGGTGGGTACTACATTGTCAGAGCTGCCGTTCTTCAGAAGGGATCCCATTTGCAGACAACAACAACTTGCATTTATATAGCGACCTTCGCAAGGACGGCATCTCGGAGCGTTTAGCGGTCCCATCTGCCAGTTAGGTACATGCTGAGGATCCCATGGCACTATTTGTAAAGCGAAGAGCAAGTCACACTACCCAACAATTAGATACAATCGGTCACTCACTTTGTGGATGTCTGTGGAATATTGCCCACAAATGCACAGTTACTACACTTTTCAGTAACATTTTGTGAAGTGTTTTTAGACATTTTGAACATGACAATCTGATATGGTTCTTTATCATGTATCATGTAATGTAAGGATGTAATAATGTAAGGATTATTTTAGTATTACTATTTAATAAGCAGATCATCCAAACAAGAACAGAGATATTATCATCGATCTTACTGTTCCTTTTATAATTAAAAATTAAGCTTTTAATTCTGAGTACTAAAAGAATACTATAAACATAGAAATAGCTATATACACACAGACTATAAAAGTGCTAAATAAAAGAATCAACTCAATAAAAACAAGGTTTTACCAACAAACACTTTGCAAAACAGTACCCTTTCTTCGAAGTACTTGACATAAAACATCCAGGCAAACAGATCTCTTCTCTCTGTCTTGATGACCTCTCCTCAGACCTCTTTGGCCCAGAACATCACCAGTTGAAGCTTTTGGAGTTCTGCCCATACCTCAACAAAGGCCTTCAAATTTAGCAAACCATCCATTGAGGTTCAGTCCAGGGCTTCAAATGACTTATTCAATTCTAGTGTGAAAAATTTGGCCATTGTCTTTGGAACAATATCCTTGACTTTCTTAACGCCCAATTGTTACCTCAGCGTGAACACTAAAAATTCAATGATCTTTCAAACGTTTTCCTGACATCACTTCTGTTGATTACTCGGTCTGCAGGATATATTTTTTTTACACATGTAGTTTCTTGATAGCATTCAAAAATGTTTTGAATAGAAATCGTTCATTTGTTATCAGTTTTAATATCAGATCACTCAGTCGTGAATTATTGATCTCTTTTATTTCTCATAGATGCGACTCCTCCAAAAGCTGCTGGATACTTGGAGATTACAGATCTGAACACCAAAAAGATTAAATATATCCCTGTTCCTAGGTAAGACTGGCAGGTCAAATTGAAGAGCTCAGTTACAAAAAGGGGAGAAATCAATTTTCACGAGTTCATAATCTTTTGGGTTCACTGCTTGTCATGCGATTCCTGCAATAACTTTCAGGGTTGGAATTTGAGGCATGTTAAACTTGATGCCTTAAGGTTAAGGTTTTGTTTTAATGGATCTCGGTTCCTTAATGTTCAGGAAGTGTAGGTTGAACTGTAGAAGTAGACTGACAGTTTCATTTATTAGGAGCTGCCAACAACAACAAATACACTTGTATAGCATCTTACACATCAGGAGGACGTCCCAATGCGCTGGATAGTTAGGGATCTGCACCCGAGCTACTGGTTGGGATCAGGAGGGATGGAGGGCAAGGTAGGGGTAGGAGGGAGACCGAAGGCACGCTCGACGAGGAGGGTCTTGCGACGGGATTGAAGGAGGCAAGGGAGGGGACTAGGTGGAGGGACTGTGGGATGGAGTTCCAGAGGGTGGGGGCAGAGAGGCTGGAGACTTGCCCGCCAATGGTGGTATGGTTAACACGGGGTACGTGAAGCAGGCGTCTGTGCTGCTGTCAGTTTCTCATTGCCCATGTTGGTGCTGCTGTCAGTGTCTATAATTGCTTATGTCAGTGCTGGTGTTGTATTAGGGCAGTGCTGCCAGTATTGGTGCCAGTGCCAGGGTTCCTATCAGTATTAGTGCTGCCAGTGGCAGTTTTGCTATGGTATCCAACAGTAAAAGAAAAAGGCCAGATTATCAGATTGCCACTGACGTCACTTGCTACTTTGCACATGTGCCGGCTGCCACCTGCGAGATAAGTGGGCTGTCCAACCGCGCTATACAAATTTGCTCAGAGTAAAGCACGTTTTAGTAGGGCTGCATTCTATGTGTTAATCTTGGACAAACATTGTAGTTTCAACCGGTCGGGTTTCTTTTCTAATCCGGCATCTTTTTCATGTAGTTCTAGAGTATAATGCGATTTGTGCTTTCTTTCTCCCAGCCCACAGTTCCACTCTCCGTACACTCAGTGGCTTTCTAAGATTTCAGACACGGATGTTCTGATAGCACCCATGGGAGATGGGGGGCTGGTGACAGTGGATATGGGAGGTCATGTCCGACTCTGGGAAACTGGATTCAGTAATCTACAGCGCTCCCTGCTGGAATGGAAAAACATGATCGGAAACGAGGATGGAAGAAGACCTGTGCAGGTACAAAACTGTTCATAATAATATAATGATGATCTTTGTATTTTATATAGCGCCTTATTGCATCATTGAGACATCTCAAAGCGCTTCACAGATATACTGTGAAGTGAATTGACTGTATGTTTTGTGGGTGAAACGCAGCAGCCAATTGCACACAGCAGTGGCGGATTGAGTGACCAAATAATTTTTTTCTTTAATATAATGATAATCGTTGCATTTGACTGCATGCTTTAAGGAGAGGGGATAAAGTGTAGGAGTGAAAGGTCACTTGATGGCCCAGTGAGCAAAGACACCTGTTAATCACCACCAGGTCTTATACTAACCAAATGGTTACTGAACCTCTCGTGATATTATTCACGGAAAAGGGAAATCAATTTTCTACCGTACCTTCCTATTAAGAGGCTTCTCCTTTAAAGTATTTCAGAAGTGTTATTAAATTACATATCAGTGGTTGAATAATTTAATACGAGATTAATGGAATGAGCATAGGGAATCATTTCATGTTCTCCACACAAACCTGAATATCACAAGAATGAATGGTGGCTGAGTGTGATGTGATGGCAACAAAACCTCAATAGATGGCAGCAATGATGCATTAATACACAGCATCCTTTACCACCATAGTGGACCAACTATTTTCCAAATTCCTGTACTCGCCTTTGATATACTCAATCTATCACCGAGTCACATGGGTAGGAGCTGGATTTATTCCTACGTTACACTGAACATGTTTTTCAATCTGTAGCTCACTGAACTCCACACCAGCTCAATCATCGATAGCTACAAAGGATTAAATAATTTACTTCAATTTACACTGCGGTTATACTACTAGGACCAAAGGATTTGGAACAAGAAGTCTACTTATACTTCCAGATCCACAAGCAGCCCATGTATCAGCCTGGCTCACTTGGTAGCACTCTTGCCTCGGAAGGTTGTGGGTTCAAGCTCCATGTCAGGACTTTAGGTTTAGTCTAGGCGGAAGTTTTCATGGCCAGTGAAATTCATGAGGGAGAGATTTTCTTTAATTAAAAAGCAGATTGCAGGCCTCCCAGGTTTTTCAGCATTACAGATCAGGACAGGTGAGAGCGAGAACAGTGGAAACAATCTTCTGATATGCCAAATCTTCTTTGAGTTTGAGGGGTTGTTAGAACGAGCAAAAAACAAAAGGTAGATAAAGATTTTTCTCAATGTTACACCCATCATACGTGAGTGATAGTTTTCACTATTTTTCTCTCCCGTTTGGGTAAAACCTCCTATTGGGTATTAAAAGAGGGCATTGACTCAGTGCTTGTGTACAAAATTGCACCTCTGGTTCTGAGCAGGAATGAGCTGTGACATTAAGCTAATGGTTTTATTATGGATCACTGCTGGGATTTCAAGAGTTTGAGTGAGAAGATAATGTTACAAGAATATACAAATGACCGTATTTTAATGTCAATAATAAGAATCATCCAAGGTCTTACCTTGGTCAATCTGCTGTTCTTGCATCAGAAATTGGTTTGTGGCTCCCAGTAATCAATTAAAGATAGAAGACAGTCAGACAGACATGGGTTGAATGTTTGTATAAAATATATAAAAGCAGGTTTGATACATATAACTGAGGAATACAATGCCTTTCACATAGAAACATTGCTATGAATTTTAATGTATCGCATATTATTAAAGTGGTTTTTACTTGTAGGAATTGCTTTTAACTTTTATTTCCAACATAAGACAGTCCTTAATTTTGTTAATATCTGTAATCCTGCTCAAACAATGGTCTGTATGAATAAGTTGTCTTGGGTCCTCTCTTCAGGGGTTTTAAGTATCTGAGAAAAGCTTAACTTTGAATCAGAATGTGAACGGTCCTCATTTATTTCTCCAGAGTGATAGCCTTTCTGTTGTGTCCAGCTACAGCTCTTTGCTTCTTTTAAAATCCTGTTTAAATGGTTGTCCAAAGCATTTCGTCCCACACAGAGCAGCTTGTCCTGCGTGGTATTTCCAGCTGTAAAGGATTATTTCTTCGGAGGCAGCAACAGTCAATGGACCACGGTCCTGCCTTGTGCTGCAGACCACACACCGAGACTGGATTCCACAGCATACACAACCGTGGGTAGCTAGGAGTTGTCTCCAGTAGCTTTGCAAAGAGCGATAGCGTGTTCTCTCCAAACCCCTTAACACTAGTGTAGTCCTCTGAGAAATGAAGTATGATTGTTTCCCTTCACTGATGATTTCAGCAGATGTCTCCTGAATCATTTGACTCCGTACACAATGATAATTATCTGGAGTATAATAAACTATTCAAAATCCTTAGTTAAAACGGGGGGGTCTTCAATTGCCAGAAGCTCCTGAGGTTTCCATTGTATATGTGAGACCACCTTGAAAGATCCACATCAGTCCTTCAGGGTCTTGTCCACATCTGAAGTAAGAGGCCAGCAGTCCCCCTCCGTCCCCCGCCCCATAGACAGACTCAGACACACACATATATACATGCACACTTAAGAAAATAGTACAAAAAAGTGCATGATTTGTTGTTATTAGACCAGATGAGATGAAGAGAGGAATGTCTTTTCCGCTCCTTTCCATACAAACTATCTTTTATAAAGTGCCTTTCATGTAAAAATAATAATTAAAGGTAGTTAGTGGTGGTCATCGCGTGTGAAAGTCAACACTTTTAAATCTTTTTTTCCTGTCCATGAGATGTGGTCCAAGGGTTTTTTCATGGCAGCAAATACTCATGAAGTTGACAGAAATTGATAATTTCCCAAGTCCAAAGTTTTCTGGGAAAGTAGAAAAATAAAGATAATGACTTGGATAAAGCCTAGAAAAGTTTATTCTTTTGTTCTTCGATTCCCCACAGTTAAGTCTTCCACTTCACTCAAAATTACAACAACAAATTACATTTGGAGGAAGTCCCAAGGCCTCAAAAATATCAGATATTTGGATGATTATTCACAGCTTATTCCACCTTACTCAATTCTCCCTCTTCCTATAAAAATTAAAGTCCACACCACACGCCTGTTTATCTAGCAGTAAGGAGGAACCCGGTTGTTAGTCGATTGGTGGATGCTTTTCCAGGGGTAATAATTCCTTCAACAAAAAATAACAACAAATTCGTCACTCAATCCATGACTGTTTGTGTAACACTGCTGTGCACAATTGGCTGCCATGTTTTGCCCACAAAATATACAATCAATTCACTTTACAGTATATCCTGTGAAGTGCTTTGAGACGTCTCAAAGATGTGATAAGGCGCTATATCAAATGCATGGATTATTATTTCTTAAAGGAGTCCAGCTTCCCGGCCTCAATCACCGTTTCTGATAATCTATTCAGGTTATTTATTATACTCTTGTGTAAATAAATGCTTCCCAGTGTCTGTCCCCAAATTGTCCTTCACACCCCTGAACTGTGCTCTTAGCTTTCTTAGCGTATCTGAAAGTATTGTTCCGGATTTACTTTCTCAATCCCATCTAGCAGTAAGTAGGAATCGGTTGGTTAGTCAGTCGATTGTCGGATTACTTTTCTGGGGGTAATAATTCCTTAAAAAAATTGGTCACTTGGTCACAATCCATGACTGCTTGAGGGACACTTCTGGGCGCAATTGGCTGACGCGTTTCGCTCACAAAATATAAAGTCAACTCACTTTACAGTATATTTTGTGAAGCGCTTTGAGACGTCTCGAAGACGTGATAAGGGGCTATATCAAATCCAAGGATTATTAGTGTTATTATCCTGTTTTCCTTGTTTATTGCTGCCTCAGATGGTGCGCATTAGCACGGTGAGTCAACCCTCACGTCTTTTTTGATTCTCCTTGGCAGGTTCTATCCTGTCCGTGGAGTACATGTGCCTCCTATTTTTACCTCCTAATCCAATACCTTACATTTATATCTGTATTGAACTCCCTTTGCTAGTGTTTAGCCCAAGTGTATATCATATTAGATTCTTTTGAAATCCGATGAGGCAGACAAAATCTTATGAAATTCAGTCTAATTGTTGTCTGCAAATTGAACTGCTTTGCCCTGACTCTTGAAATCCAAGTCATTATCACAAAGAACAGCAGGAGGTCTCAGCACTATTTCTCCATGGAAATTTGGGCTATTTTTAAGATGTTCTCTAATTGCTGGTGAGCTTTCCCGAGTATCAGTGATGTTTGTGAGACCAACTTATCTGTCCTTTTGAGGGTCCTGCCATCCAGTAGGCATCAGAGATGGAGAGCTTGTAGCTGAAGCATCGTTGATTTAGTATGAGTGCCAAGAGGCAGACAGAACACAATGCTTTAGATCGAGGGGAATTTGTCATGCTTTTCCAACTATATTACTCTATGAGGTTAACCAGAATCTAATGTGGAAGATTGAAATTGTAAACCACAGAGGTTCAGCATATGGACAAAAGAGCTCATTGATTTGCTGTTCTCAGCCATAGTTGCAAAGGGAGACTAATCTGTCCTGGGTTAAAAGAGGGAAAAATCATCCAGGGCTCCTTCTCCTAGTCCCTCTGCTTGTGTGTGTGTGTCAGGAGAGGTCAGGCTGGACAGTGACCACCCCCCTCTACCCCCCCACCGTCATGACCCTCTACAGTCGTCAACCATGACGAATAGCCACTTGAGCGGGATTCCAGAGAGCAACCAGCACCCATTGAACCACACAGTAAGACAAGACAAAGCTGGACCAGGAGCACTTCACCATAACTAAGTTCATTGTTAACTGCCTGGGAAGTTCGGTTATCATACTCATACCCGACTTATTTTAACTGAAGTTAAAAAGTAATCATGTTCTTTTGCCAGGTTCCATTTTAATTGCAATTAACAATCACAACTCCCCCATCCACTCTTTTCCCACACCCACCATCACTCTACATGTAAAGCTGCAGACTTCCACCCCTCTCCCCCGAACCTTTGTCAACTTGCAGTACATTTATAATCATGCCATCAAATCATTTCCAACTTAAGAATGACTGACATTTAATTTGCAGTTGATCAAATTACTTTCCCGAAGCAGTGGCTGCTCGATCAATTTAGAATATCTGAAATTTGTCCACGAAATGCTGGCTGAAAGAAATCCAGGGATTCATTGCTCACTGTACCCAAACAGTGGGAGACAGTAAACAAGGCAAACAGGATGCTGGGCTACAACAATAAATTAGTTGAGTCCAGATCGGTGCTCCAACCCATAGAGTGCTATGGTTGGGTCACACTTGGAGTATTGCGTATAGTTCCTGTCCCAGCAACATAAGGGGTTCATCCAGGTCCCAGAGGAAGTGAAGAGGAAAGCAGCGGCAAATCAAGACAGCGCAAGATAAGCCGAAGTGTGTTACAGAACTATATCACAAAGATGTTCTGCCATAATCGTGAATTACAAGGTTGTATCTGCGAAGTGGCAAGAGTTATCAGACTCGCAGGCACCATGTACTGTTGTAATGTAAACAGTCTTTCTATTTTTGTTGTTGGGCTTTCCTGTTTAATTTTGTATCTTGAGTTACTGTTACAGCTTTGACCACACGAGTTTTACTGCACGGCTTTGTGCCACATGACAGCAAGAGATAGCTTTAATACTCGGGATAGCTTTACCGAAACACACACTAAATAAAGATAGAGGATGAGTGTTGCAACAGCTAGATGTGTCAGTAACGTACTATTTCAAAAATAAGTCGCGCTTAACTACTATCAATAACATCACCATCCAAAGGTTATAGAATCAAAGAAAGTTTGTAGCACAGAAGGGGGTCATTCAGCCGATTGTGTCTGTTATGGTGTTTGCTTCCCCACTGAAGCCATCTACTCTAATCCCATTCCCTGTTTTCTTGCCCTTTAGTATTTTTCTTCATGTATTTATCTAATTAAATGCTTTAAAGGACTCTATTTCACTAGCCATATGTGGTATGCCATTGCACATTCTAACAACCCTCTAACCTTTTCTTCTGATAATACAAGGATTATTATAAATTTCATGACTGCTTGTTACAACCTCCATGGTTGCACACTTCAACTCACCAAGCCAGTCAGGAACCTAAGTGTCTTGTTCGACTCTCAACTGTCTTTTCTCCCCCACATTCAAGCCGTGACCTGCTCTGTCTTCCCTCACCTCCGTAACATCGCCCGACTCTGCCACTACCTCACCCCTCAGGCCGCTGAAACTCTTGTTCATGCCTTCATCACCTCCAGGCTCGACTATACAAATGCCCTGCTTGTCGGCCTTCCCAACTCCTCCGTCCACAGGCTGCAGATAATCCAGAACTCTGCAGCCCACGTCCTCTCCCACACCAAACTCCGTGACCCCATCTCCCCCACTCTCGCCCGACTCCACTGACTCCCTATCCTTCAGAGGATCCAGTTCAAGATCCTGGTCCTCACATATAAAGCTCTCCATGGCCTCGCGCCCCGCCCCTCCCTCTGCGGCCTCCTAACCCCATACCAACCCGCCCGTTCCCTCCTCTCAGCCGGCTCTGGCCTGCTCCACATCCCCTGACCCACCCTTCCCACTATTGGCGGGAGAGCCTTCAGCCACTCTGCCCCCAACCTCTGGAATTCCATCCCGCAGTCACTCCGCCTCGTCCTCTCCTGAGCCTCCTTCAAGTCCCGCCTCAAGACCCGCTGCTTCAACCATGCCATCGGCCACCCCCTTTCCCCTCCCCTCCCTTCTCCCTCCCTGACCCCAGCTCGGGTCTGAAATGCTGCCCTCTGTCCAGCGCTTTGGGACGTCCTCCCGACGTGAAAGGCGCTATACAAGTGTAATCTTGTTGTTGTTACTGACTTGTTGAACAATGCAGAGAAAATAGTCTTTCTATGAGCCCTATCAAAATTATTCGGAAGTTTTAAGACCTCTCATTCGATCCCCTTGAACCTTCTCTGTTCTAGTGAAAACAAACCAGCTTTTCAAGTCTCTTCACATAAAGCCTTTGATGACCATTTGTGTAGTTGGGCTAAGCTGAGCTGAGTGTGGAGTACGCTGGTGGATCAGAATGCAACATGAAAAGCAGCTCAATTGTGGATCTGAACCATGAAAGGAGCTGCTTGAAAAGTCCTTCACATCTTCTGAGACATTTAATGTCAATGGGATAGCAAAACATTCAAAGAGATTAACTGCTTGAAAAAGCACCCAAAACGTAAACTAAGCCTTTTCCCACCTCCACCCTATACCCCACAGTATGTCATAGCAAACTGCGAGTCTTTGGCTCCATCTTGGGATCTCGAGAATTGGGCTAGCGTGACTTACAAGGGAGTCCCTGCAAAAGTCAGTTTACATCAAGGGCATTTTTTCCAAGAGATTTTTGCCATTTAAGATCACTTGCAACTCCCCCTGTGGGGACACACACACACACATACTCACACAAAAATGTATTGAATGTGGATGACTGGTCTACACTAGATTTCTCAGTTTGGAAAGATGCAAATGTTCTTCAAATTCAGGTCAAACAGTGTGTGCATCAGGGCTAATTCGTATGTGCATCAGGGCTTGTTAGTGTGTGCATCAGGGCTAGTTGGAGTGCAGGTTAATGAGATTTGCGTCTCTTTAATGTTGGGACATCTACATGGTTGAAGCTATTTGAAGAGGCTGTGTTGCTCTTGTAGCAGAGAGGTGTATATGTGTTTGATTCTGGGCACTGGCATCTCTCCAACTATCTATTTGCGTAGATGTTATTTATTTGCATTCCAAGCAAATTCAATTTGGATTCATCTCCTGCACCAATTCCAGAGTCAGACGGGCGGCTCAGATAGCCGAGAAACATGACTCCCCACAGCAAGCTGTGGTGCTGTGAAATAGATTGTCCGTCCAATATTGCACCCCCGTTGTTCTGTAGTTACCGGGCTACCTTACATAAGTGATCATCAATATGCTGCTTTTTGATGAGAACAGCACTTTTTAAAACAGTTTCTTATGCGGAAAACTAGCTTTTAACAATGTAAAAACACTTTTAAGATTATAAAACTATTATAAAATGCCAAATTATAAAATAATGATGATAATAATAATACAAAAATCCAAAATGCATGACAAGGAACAACAGAAAATGGATTCCTTGAACGCATAACCTGTAAGTGGCATTTATCATAAGACGGAATATTTTCCAAATCCACACACAACTGCCGCATGTTGCGTTGTGGCCATGAATATTTTGCAGGCACCTGAACACATCTGGTGCTATTACAACTTTATTGTAATATCAGTGGGAGCCTCTGACTCCCACAAAGATGAAATGAAACAGTGGATTTTTTTTCAAAATGTGGAAAAATACAGTTAGTGATTGATCTTGAGACTTTTTTTCTGTATATAATGAAATCCCAGTTAAAGAAGGTTAAGGGGACATAGGGAAAATGAGCAGCTCTCCATCCCTTTAGAACCTGCACTACAATTCTATAATTCTGTTTCCCTGTCCCTTAATATCCTCATCCAAGGAGAATGGATAAGCCTGTTTATAATTATAATCTTTTCACACACAACATTCCTGTTTAATTATACTACTTTACAACGTTTCCTCCCATACCCAACTAAAGCTTTTGGGACAGAAGAAACAGAGGGTTGGGTTCATTCAGTTGAAAGGCATCAATCAAAGCCTGCTTTTTCATTGTTTGTGGGAACAGAGTTTCTAAATAAATCTTTGTTCCGAACCAATCCATGAATCAAAAGACACCTCAGCTAGCATCAAAACAACTCTCAAAGAAATCTCCCCAAAACATTGTAATGCAGTCACTTAGCACCTTGATCCTGCCTGGGTAGAGATACTCAGAAAGCTAGTACAAATAATCTGGTGTCCGATTAAATCAGGCTAAATATTTTCAACTTTGGAGCCCTGGTCATTGAAATAATATCCAAAATATTCTGCTACTTTTTATTCCTAGATCACAATTCAAAAGGAGAGTGGATTAGATGTGGACTCCCCAAAACATGGAAGATTTGATCCAGACAACACACCACATGTTGGAGGGAACACATGGGCAGGAGGGACAGGTTAGTGGGGTGTGAGGTGATGATGGTTTATATATAATAATAATATAATAATAATAATAATAATCCTTGCATTTGATATAGCGCTTTTCACGTCAGGAGGACGTCCCAAAGCGCTTCACAGAACACACTGTAAAGTGAATTGACTGTATATTTGTGGGCGAACGCGGCAGCCAATTGCGCACAGCAATGTCCCACAAACAGGCGTAGATTGAAAATGACCAATTTAATTATTGTTTTTGGTTTTTTGGAGGGATTATTATTAGGCGTGTGGAGTAAGGAAACTTGCCCAAGGTTTCGCCCTCTGCCTGAAATTGAACTCAGGTCTCTCACTTGCAAAGCGAGTGCTCTAACCACTGAGCTACAGGACTCCACGAGATAAGACAAAAGATGAAACCCAAGTATGTTTGTCCTCAAAATAGACAGTCACTACACTTTATTGTGAAGCACTTTGAGACGTCTGGATGAGATGATAATATAATAATCTTTACATTTGGTATAGCATCTTTCAAGTTGGGAGGACGACCCCAAGCACTTCACAAGAGATACAGTAAAGTGTAGGGACTGTGTGTTTGCAGGCACTATATAAAATGCAAGGATTATTTTTATATTTGTTCGGTATATAGCCATGACTGTAGCAATGATGAAAGTTACACTGGAAGTTAGAAAAAAAGGAGGCAATCCTATTTAGAACAGGCTGCACGGGTCTGGTAGCGTCAACATTGTGTATATAATCTTGGCTTCCTCTGAGTGGTGGGGTCTTAGCATCTTGTAGATGCCACCAAACTATACGGGTAAATTTATGCTCATTTTGTTTAGCTGCAAATTACATAATTAGTCAAAACACAAAGTACTGCAGATGCTGCAAATGTGAAAACAAAAACAGAAGTGCTGGGAACGCTAAGCAGGTCAGGCAGCATCTATGGAGAAAGGAAAGTGAGTCAACGTTTCAGGTCCATGACCCTACGTCAGAACTCTGACAAGCATCTTTTTTGGTTTTCCCAGCAACTTCTGTTTTTGTTTACATAATTAGTCAATTATTTTCATTGGTTAATTACATAACTAAAGTTACTGGTAATTACCTCTGTACACACAATACATTATAGGGCGGAGAACACACGTGAATTTACGTGTGCCTTATATGCATATGGCTTCCAAGTTGTGCATAATAAAATGTTATCGTAACTTTGATTATCTGACAGTCAGTTGTTACATATAATATATTAATAATCCTTGCATTTGATATAGCGCCTTATCAGATCTTCGAAATGTCTCAAAGTACTTCACAAAATGTACTGTAAAGTGAATTGAATGTATCTTTTGTGGGCGAAATGCAGCAGCCTTTTGCGCACAGCAGTGTCCCACAAACATTCGTGGATTGTGTGACCAATTTATTATTTTTTTTGGAAGGGATTATTACCCCCGAAAGTGATCCGCCAATCGACTAACAACCAGGTTGCTATTTACTGCTAGCTAAACAGAGGCGTGTGGAGTAAGGAAACTTGTCCAACATTTCGCCTGTCGGGAGGCGAATCCAGGTCTCTCACTTGCAAGACGAGCGCTCTAATCACTGAGCTACAGGACTCCACAGGACTCTGCAGTTGTTGTACTAACTGTGCCAGTCTCTCTTATATGAGAGAGTTTGGGTAATGGCACTATACACTATTAAAGCAATAAGTCAGCTTAAGTCGATTGAATGACCTAAAGTAATGTACGTCCAGGTAGTTTAGCGCTCAGCTTCTGCTGAATGATCTCCAGGCTTTCCAGCAGTGATTGATAGTGCACTTGGAAACAACCCAAAAAGCCTCAACACTGCGGTTTTTATCTGTTTTTTTAACAAGTCTTTGGGATCAACATGAGATGGGCCCAACTGCAGAGGAATTTAAAATAAAATGAAAGATTTGACAGTTGTTACCAACCCTGAGATCATCAATAGTCTCGGGTTTCGAAAGGTGATGTCATCCATCTGCTATGCTTTCCAGACCCATTTTTGTTAATCAACGTCTGATTATGAGGGATCCACAGTCTGAGTACAGCCTGGTCTTCTGATTAAAGTATTTCAGTATGTTTCAGTATGTGTTGAGGGAGAAGTTAACCGTAGGGCTCTGTGCTTTGCAAGCAACGTGATGAGCCCCTGGGTATGTTTCCAGATTATTTGATTAATCACCATCTTTGTCAAAAAAAATATTACCCACCCCTTCCTACATCTGCATAACTGCCCTCGAGTCCTCTAAACTCCTGGCCCTCTGCTTACCTTGACCTTACACACAATTCCCTCACTGTCATCCTCAACCACCTCTGAACCCCTCAATTCCCCCGTACAACAGCCACTTCCATTTCCTAAAGTCCAAAACCCATGCTGCTGAATGCACGTGGCTTAAATTTGACCTCACAGTCTGGTAACCCTACCACAGTTTACTTTTGCGCCCCTTGCTTCAACCAAATTTGCTTTTACTTCAGGATGGATCATCCTGGAGGTCAAAGATAACCCTAGGCATTTCAACCACCAACCACCACCTGCTCAATTCTAACTGCAAGGAGTTGATGGACTTTCTCTGATTCAAAATTGAGTAGATTTGCTAAGTTTCTGCCAAACCTCCTCCCCACCATCCTCAAAACATCCCACCAACTCAGTGACTCCTGGACAGAGTGACAGGAGGCTATTCTACTACGGGGCATCATTGCAATTAATCCTGGCCCCATCCTCACCAAATGTTGACACTACAGCAGGGATCAGCAGTGGGTAATTTTTCTCTGTTTTATTTACACCTTTATTGCAATCGCAATGAGATTGTACCCGGAAAAATCAAACATAGAACTTTCCAGATTAATATGTCTCACTGGAGAAACTCACCGAGCCATCAAGGGAGCAGATATACATCAAAAGTTTGGAGGCAGCATAATCTGTGTGATAAATACACAATAAATACATACTAATTATCTAATAATATATCAAAATTAATTATGTCTTAGATTTTGTGTATCTTGGTCACGTCATACAATCTGCATATAATTCTTCTAGCATTGCTCAGTATTAGTATTCCTTAGCAGTAAGTTACCCCCTTTGAAAGCTCTAAAATTTCAGAAGTTACAATTCACAATTTCAAAACAGAAGTCGCTGTCAGGGAGCATCTATGGAGAAAGGAAAGTGAGTTAATGTCTCAGGTCGATGACCATTTGTCAGAACTCTTGTCATTTCTGACGAAAGGTCATTAACCTGAACATTAACTCACTTTCCTCTCTCTCCATAGATGCTGCCTGACTTATTGAGTGTTCCCAGTGACTTCTGTTTTTATTTCAGATTTCCAGCGTCTGCAGTATTTTGCCTTTTTTTAACGATTCAGCGTACTGAGCCCCTAGAAACCTAATGTTATATAAAATGTATAACATAATTAATTTCTGTCGTCAACCACCACAACAAATTGCATTTACACAATGCCTTATGTTGGGTGGACGTCCCAAGGTGCTGAAATTGCATCACAACCGTGTTTAAAAATCAGACAACCATCCTGACCGGTTGGGACAACAGTCAAAGCATTTCCCAAATAGTTTGAGATGTACAGAAGTGAAGGAGATCCACAGTCCATGTGGGACTGGGTTGTTAAATGATCAGAACAGGGGTGAGTGCTGGTGAAGTACCTCTTAGGTGACTGGAGCTAATCAATTGGTATGTGGAGTTCAGACTGCATTCAGAGAGCGAAGGGAATATCTTACTAGAAAACAGCCGATTGAACTTTATTTTCAAGGTTAAGCAGTAATTACGCAGATTGTTTTACAAAGGCGTGTTCATAAACTGTCAATTTCAAAAGTAAAAGATTGGGAAATTAATGATCTGCACTGAACTATAAAATGCACACGTGGCGTCAATTATTCTAAAGGAGCTGTAATCCCTGTCATTTTATCGACTGCACCATAGCAATCATTAATTGAATGACACTTTGATCTTCTGTAATCAACTCCATACCATCGGTGTGTCTGGAATGCCTTGTTTTTGGAGGAAAGCCCCTACTATTTATACAGCTTTCTTTAATTTGCACAGACTGGCCCCTTTCTTACTCCAAGAGGGATACAGTCAGAAAGTAAATGTCGGTTATCAAAACATTTGGGTTTGTATGATACAAATTGATTTGCAGTGGGTTAGTAAGTTGTGGTTGTCTTTCAATAATGTGACAGTCATCTTTGTTTTAACTCAGTTAAAATAACTCTAAAAATTGAGGAGTAGCCAAGTCCAAACAGGTTCAAGTCACAATGATTGATCTGCGGACGAACTGGCCTATTCCTATTCTGTACCTCCTTATATTCTAGTCTTTCATAAGTGTAGTAAGTGTGTGTGTGGTGTGTGTGTGTGTGTATGTGTGTCCACTTGCGGAAAATTCTGGATGTGATCCATTTGCTGGGAAGTACTTGATTGTGATACCGTTGCCACATGACACATGTGTTTGGGATCCTTCCAATAGGATTTGTGTGTTTTGGGCCCCTATAGAAACCTACGGATGCCATTCAGTTCATATTAGGGTCAGTGTTTGCTCATACAAAAAGCGGCCTTTCCTTAACCCGATCCCTGTTCTTTCTTTTCCTTATCACACATGCTCATCTAATTCCCTTTTTAAACGTCCAGGTTGATTTGCAGTTGATCTTCCCTCCCTTCCTGCAGCAAGAACCTTGCGCTTCCCCAACAGCAAAGCCAAGATTGAGGGCTCAGTCTTGGGAAGTCCATGACAAATCCATACAGGAAATACAGGGGTAATGGAGGGGGGATTAGCAGAGGTGGAGACTTTGAGTGTAAATACCAGTAGTTGGCCATGATGGTCTGTTTCTGTGCTGTAACGTTCTATGTAATTCTAAAACAATCTATTTTGCAGCAGTATTCCCTGTGATAGACCCACCCTGGTGTGGGCTGCTTCATTTTTTTAAAATAGTTGCAATCAAGTAAAATATTTCTATATTCTTAAATATTATACACTATACATGAGGGAGAAGAGAAGGGTTTGGGAGGGAGTAAGGAGTAAGGGCGTAAACTCAATGGAGTATAAGCACTGGCACCGACTCATGGGACAAATGGGCTGTTTGCGTGCTGCACAGGGCTCTATGTAAATCTATGCAAATGCTTGAAGCTGGGAAAAAATGTAAGAAAGTAACTTGAGTTCTACTACTTAGCATATGTCCCATTATCAACCATTTATAGCAGAAGGATGTGGCAATGCATGTACAGGCACATTTCTCAGCTTTGGCTGATTCAGCAGCACTGAAATCTGATAATCTGGGCAAAGATGAGAAATTGTGCACCTGGTTTCTGCATTGCTTATTAAGCCATGGTTCTGTCCTTCTCGTTATAAATTCAAATACCACCATATAAACTGGATGGGTAAGAACATGAAAGATACCGTATATAGTTTGGGACATGACATGTGTATACGAACGCCAGGATGGTGGAATTGCGAACTGAATGGACCTTGGTCTTCTTTCATCCAGCAATTCTTATGTTCTTATGAAGCTGTCACTTTGTTTTTTTAAAATAAATGTTTCCCCCCACCTCCCTACTCAGGTGGGAGAGATACTGCGGGGCTGGGTGGGAAAGGTGGACCCTATCGACTGGATGCAGGACATAAGGTGTACCAGGTGTCTCAGGCCGAAAAAGACGCTGTGCCGGAAGATGTGAAGAGAGCTGCGAGGGAGATGGGCGAGAAAGCGTTCAAACAGAGGTTTGTATCCTGTCCCTCCCTGTCTGGGTAATACATGTGTGTCCGCCCTTACGATTCTGTTAAGTTCATTAAAACACAAGGACAAATGGCTGTCGACCAGCTATGAAAACCAATGGATGTCCATCTTCTCTAATAGTTGTGAACTGATAGAAGTCACTTAATTCTGTTGTTGCATTGTGTTTAGTTCCACGAGAGCTGAGAGTACAGACTTTAAGACGGGACATTTGGCTTTCCTTTAGAAAGTTTATTGCATCACTTCCTGTGGTACTTAAGTTCTTTAGCGAGCATTTTGGTTTCCTGTTAAACATTCATTTATTTTGATGCCTATTTTAATTGATCTTGTTTCCTCTGTTTATTTACTTTTTCCTGGGACATATTCTGGGCATGGAGAAAGGAAAGACATCTTGTACCCCCAGGCTTCAACTTTGTTGACGTGAAACCAGCTACCAGGAGGCGGTCAGGAGCACTCAACAGTAACTTTTCCTCCTTTTAACTGCCCTCTCTCCCTGTGGGAAACTGGATAGTTTGAGGAGAAACTTGCAGGCGTGTGGGGGAATTGGAGGAGACGACTCCAACATCCAGACAGTCCTGAACCAGTCATGGAATCATAGAATCCCACAGCATAGAAGGATGCCATTCGGCCCATCATATCTGTGCTGGCTCTTTGAAAGAGCAATCCAATCAGTCCCACCCTCCCACTCTTTCCCCATAGCTTTGCAAATATTTTCCTTTCAAGTATATATCCCATTCCCTTTTGAAAGTTATTATTGAATCTGCTACCACCACCCTTTCATGCAGTGCATTCCAGAGTGTACTCGCTGTGTAAAAAAGAATTCTCCTTATTTCCCCTCTGGTTCTTTTGCGATTGTTTTGTGACCAACCATTCCTATTTGCAGTTTCTGGAATAGTTCAATCCATTTTTCTAGTCAGTTGTATTCCTTGAATCTCTGTGCTGATAGTCACCACGACCGGTGTACAGATAGCTTGTGGTGATTGACCTGGAATATATGACAGTAAAACGGTGATCGAGATCCAGTCATACATTGAGCCGAGGTAGCGGCGCTGTGTGTCATGGAATAGTGGCGTCACTTCCATGATTTTCCAAATTTGTCCAATGGAAGCATGGTTCCCGGTGGAGAAGGCGGGATAGATAGTTTCTGACATTCTGGGTCACTACAGCGCACCTCCCTGTACTTGGTTACAGAAACCACTTTAATAGAGGAATTAGTCACCTGCCCCCACATCTGGGGATAGATCCTGGCAGGGAGAGGGGGAGAAGAGAACTGGCTCACTGCAATGGAATTATTGCCATAAATGCAGACAAGACAGTTGTAATGGCTTTTGAGTGTGGATTTTTACAAGTTTTTAATACCGGGTATCATCAAAACTGGGAATGTTAACAGTAGAAATGGACAAAAAAGCTCTTTTCTGTTCCAAGTTCTAAAAAAATCCAATTTCCTGCCCGTGTCAACACTTTGTTCAGCTTATGAGTTTTCTCCAGTTAAACTATACCTAAGATTTTTGTGCTGTTTAGTGTTCTGGGGTCTGTGCTGAATTCAGAGCAAAGCAAACATTCAAATCCCCAGAAAAATACTGACTAATGTTAAACATCTGACAAAAATTCACAACTCTATTGGAATACAAAGAGGAATCCAGGAGCACTGAGGGATTTGGAAAGTATAAGCACAGCCCATTCCAAGTCTGGTGGATGAAAAGGCCCTTCAGAGTTTGTTACTTGTGCTGAAATCAAGGCAGTCACTGTTTCCTTTCTCAGACTGAGGAGTCACGTGATTGAATTCTGCACCTAGCCCATAAACACGAGAATAGTTTTCACTGTGTTCTCACAACTCCTCTAACCTTTACAGCTCAGCAAATCACTGAAGGAAGGCATGGAGCAATAGACCTGGAGCAGTCATTCTCAGTGACCTCCATGTTAAGAGAAACGCCTCAGTCTTAACTTGATTATGAGTCATAGTTGTTTTCATATCGTCAGAGATTTTAAGGCTGAAACCATTAAACGCGTGTTTTGTCTAACGCCGTGTTTCAAGTTTAATATGAGACCCCAAAAGACCACCTTGACTTGGCGTGCAAGACCATTTTGTCTCAAAGTTTAATATTTGCCAGACTTGTAGAAAGTTCTTAAAGTCAATCCTGCTGTACAAGCAGTTTCTGTTTAAGAATTTTGAGGAAAAACAGCTTCCACATTCAGACTGAATTTAAGACTTTTTTTGCCATTCCGCACAATCTTAAATTTTACACCAGGGGATTTCACCCACGTGTACAAGTTCTGTCTGAGTGACTGGAGTAATGCTACGGCCTGCAATACTGAAAACAGTGACTGAATAATGAAGGAACAAAGCAACACTTAGTAAGAGTTAATAAGAACAACAGTAAATAGAAAACACACAGCACATTGTGGCAGATTTTTAAGTATGAGAAAAGCAAATGTGGGCTTCACACACTATTGTAAAAGTGAATTGTATACACCATGTTACTTGCTGATCCTTCCTATTTCATTAGAGCTTTGCGTGGCTACAATTTTTATCATAAGAAACTCTTAACATTAAGAACTTTTGTTGTATCGTTCGTCAGATTTCCTGAGAACTTCGCCCCAAATCCATATCCTACTCCCCTTCCCTCTCCTCCCACTGTGTTTATGCAGCAGGAAGGGTCAGGCGAATTGACCTAGTTCTGAAACCACCTCCTCCAATGGGATAATGTACTCTCAATGGCTTACCTCAGCGTGTGAGGAGCAGTCTCCAGTGTGAGGACAGACTCCAACGTGATTCTAGTGGACTTGTGCTATTCATTTGGCAGAGAGAGAGCTTCAGCAATAAAGCGTAGGTGGACCTTGCACCGTTTTGGGTAACCCAACACCGGACTTTCTCCGAGTCTTTATACCCTGCTTTGCTGTGTCTACAGATTGAAGGAAATCCACATGAGCGAGTACGATGCTGCCCATTATGAGACATTTTCAGGCGCTGTGCGACGGCAGGTTCAGTCCCTACGAGTCATCCTCGACACGTTGCAGGTATGTTTGAGCTCACCTGGAGCACAGTTAGTCAGTCAGTTACAGGAGAGTTAGAATGAATGACCTTACATTTTTATAGTGCCCTTATCACATTAAAACACCTCAAAAGTGCTTCTCTCACAAGCATTTCATTGTCCGATTCATTTTCTGGGGGGCAAATGCTCATGGCTGTTCGTGGAGACCAGCAATTTCGTAATAATGTTAAGGCTTTTGATCTGACAAATTTCATCCTGAAATCGAAGGAGGAAGGGCAGGTATTTTTGGAAGATCGATGGGGGGAGTGGGGTGAGGGTGCGGAGAACCATAGTAAGGGTTTCCGTGTTTGCCCTTACCAGAGAAGAGTCAATGAGTCCGTTGCTCTTCAAATACAATTTAAGCAACAAAATACTGTGGTCTTAAATTTTACAAGAAGATATCTTGACTGAGCACAGTACATCTAGTCCAGCCCGGGTCGGATTTAACAAGTCTGCGAAGTGTGCTCATCTTCTGAACATTACGTGAGGGCCTCTGTCATTTACAGATTCTCCATTAAGGGTAATAATTCAAGGTTAACGTTGAGGTTTTTCCATATGTTTCTCCTCACTCAAATTCAAATCAATTGGCTAATCATCTCATTGTTTTATAGGATGTTTTGGGGTGCACATTAGCTGATATGTTAATCTACCGAACATCCACTTCATTTCATAAAACGTGCAGCACAAAAGGAAGACATTTGGTCCATCGTACCTGTGCCAGCGTTTTTGAAAGTTATTTGTTAATAATCCTTATATTTGATATGGTGCCTTTCATGTCAGGAGGACGCCCAAAAGCCCTTCATAGGATACACTGTAAAGTGAAGTGACTGTGTTTTTGAGTGAACACACCATAAGCATCCATGAAGAGAGTAACCAATTTTATTTGGGGGATTGTTATCCAGGACACCAGGAGAAACTCTCTTCGCTTTTCGAATAGTGCCATGGGATCTTTAACGTCCGCCTGAACAGGCAGACAGGACCTTGGTTTGATGTCTCATCCAAAGGACAGCACCTCAGCAATGTAGTACACCAGCACTGAATTCAAGTGTCAGCTTAGACTAAATGAATTCCATGTCCCAGTGTGGGGCTTGAACCCACAACTCAGAGGCAAGAGTGCTACCAACTGAACCAGGCTGACACCTGTATTAATTTAGCTCCACTCATTTATATTCTTTCAATATATTTTGTCTAATTCTCTTTTGAGAAGGGAATTATTTTCTAATTATTCTCATTCTGTACAGCACATAGATAGTTTGTATGTGAAAGGAACTGTACCAGAGTAAGTTGATGATGTGATACTGTATGTGTAAAAAAGAAAACTTTAAAATACTTTGGAAAATTATCGTGAAAGTGAAATCCCCAGATTTGCTGAGATCAAAACACCTAAAACTGGACGAGTGGGTAAGAATCACACAGTTAAATACATATGCTGGGTAATTGCAGAGTGCGAGCATAGAAGCTGAGGAGGTAAATAAAATAATAGCACAATATTTGATGTTCGCCCAACCCCAGTGATGAGAGGCATTTGTTCAACAAAAGCTACCCTTAGGCATTCAAGACCACCAGCTGGGAGCAGCTGGGAGCATAGTGGACGGAGCCACCACACTTAACAATTATGCTGTCATCTCCCAGCATGGTCACTATCCTTCTCCTTTTGACAGGACCACTCTGACACTCAATTTCTTGTGATAAAATAGGAAAGCAAACCCTTCATTATTTCCGATCGCATCTCAAGTCCCATCACATTAGATCACTCCCTGGTAAGAATCGGAATATTCTTTTCCCAGAGGCTGGGTATCACATTTCTCTTACATAACTTCGCCTTGTTCTTCAAGCCTACTTTATCTGATGCCTGAGTGCTGCTGCTGTCAGGTGCACTGAGTCCTCAATGGGGAGAACAGCATAACAAATCCTGCAGTCGTGTAAACACACTGGTGCTTCTGTCCTTGTTTACATTGTTTTTCTGCTGCTATACATCACCACAGTGCTAATAATGACAGACTACAAACTGCAGGCGGTTTATTTTTTTCTCTGATCATGAGCAGCAAGACACAACACATGGGCAGGTGGCACATTTAAATCCAGGGACAATCGGGAGATTAGGCTCAAACGTGTAACACTGCTGAGGGTTTAGCATTTTTAAATCCCAGCCCATGTAATGGTCTTCATTTGACCAAGTTGTGGTCACTAACCAATACTAGAATTATACAGTGTTACAGCCCAGAAACAGATCATTTAGACTTCGCTGGTGTTTTTCTCCACATGAGCCAATCTAATCCCATTCTCTTGCTCACACCCAATTACCCTTTAATATTTCTCCTCGTCGAGCATCTAATTCCATTTTAAAAAGAATCTGTGAACTCTGCATCTACTATGGTTTGTGGCAAAGGAAACCACATGTGCACCACCTCCACCTAAAGAATTGTATTCTAACCTCCTCTAATTCTTTTTCTATAATTATCTCGAATTTTGTTACCTCTAATTACTGACTTACAACCTGTAAAAAATCTGTTACTATTTCTCCCATCATAATGCTAATACGTTTGAAGATCACCAGATACCTGAACTTCACAAACCTCACGCAGACCATCCAGTAACTTTGAGTTGAGTTGCCCTTGTTGCATTAATGCCTACAGGTTACCTTGGGTGGGTTTCCAGGCTAGTCCTGCACCATACACTAGGAATGCTTACCACTAGCTAACGTGCGACTCAAACTAGTCTCTTCCGTTTCATTATGGTAATGGGACTACCCACAAGAGCGTTGATTCAAATTCATATGAGCTACTCATCCACACTGGAACCATCTTCTCTAATTTTGTTCCTCCCCATATCCTTTTATATTACTATTCATCAAGGATTAATCCAGTTCCTTTTTAAATGTTATCAAATCAACTTCATTGACCATTTATGTTCAAACAATCCACTTTCTAACTTCCTGGGTAAAATAAATCTCACCTCTCATCAACTAGTCAAATCCTGACTCTCAGATATACACCAGGACTAACCCAATCTCCAGTCCCCACAAATTGTGAAAGAAAGTGGAAAGAGGGAAATACTAAGAAAAATAATAATATACTAATAATCCTTGCATTTGAAATATTGCCTTATTACGTCTTCGAGACATCTCAAAGCACATCATAGAATATACTGTAAAGTAAATTGACTTTAAAATTTAAAATGAACTCATCTGTCTACCCCTTCGAAAAGCAGATCTATCATCCTGGATAGGAGCACAGTCTTGACTTGCTTGCAAACCCAGCTGAAGTAGTAACCCAGAGTGAGGAGGGAAGGAAATGAGATTCAGAAGAAATCTTGTTTGAATGCATATGCCACGACCTGACTTCAGAAGTCAGTGTTAAACCTTAGAGTGACTAACATTGTTCCACTTTGATTTACTATTACAAGCTGTGAATGTATGTTAAGAGAATGTCTTTGATCTGGGCTCTATTAGAAAAGTCTGTTTATGGACAGATTAAGTGCAGGTAAAAATTTGGCTAGATAGGAATTTCATATCACTTGCATTACATGGACTGCAGTATCTTTGAATTTTTTACTTAATTGTAGAGTTAGAGGAAGAAAACAAACTTGTAAAGCACCACATCCTTTTAAGTTATAAAATCACGCACCACTGGATGCCGTGTAATCTGCCTTTTTTGAATTGAATAACTTTAACATTGCTTATCTACTGTTAAAATACAGAAACATCAATTTCATCAGAAATATTTCTTGCCAACAATGTTCTTTGACCTTTTCTGGCAGGACTTCACTGCCACAATGGTCCATGGATTCTGCTCAACATAAAAGGGTATCCATATGTTTTGATGTTTTTGTGAAAGGTTGAATTAGTGAGTAAAAGTGTGGGCCAATGCAGCAATAATGGTAGCTGATGCACAACTTTCACTACAATATGCAATAAAAGGTTCAAGATATTTTTTGCCTCCTTGGCATATATCTATAAAGAAATGTTACTAATCTACACTAAGGTGCTCATTGAAGTAGAATTTATTCTATTCAGATTGCATTGATAACAACAGTATTTGATAGAGCACTTTTCACATCAGGTGGATGTCTCAAAAGCACTTCAAAGGATATGCAGCAAATTGGGATGACTGCATATTGTAGGCAAATACAGCAGCCGATTTGCACACAATGTCCCGCAAACAGCTATGAAGTGAATGACCAATTTTATTTGGGGGGAATTGTTGACCGGGACCCGGGAAAATTTTCTTTCTCTTGTCAAATAGTGCCCATGCAATCTTTAACATCGACCTGAACAGGCACAATGCACACCCCCAGCACCGCATTTGAGAGTGTCAGCCTGGACTATGAGTTTGAATTCCTGATTTGGAACTGTAAACCCACATCTTCTGACTCAAGAGAGCTACAGACCAAGGCAGACTGACAAACAGCAACCAACAATCTGACACCAGATGCAGCTGTGGGTGAGGCTCCTTTATCACTGAGAGGGAAGTGGTGACTAGCTCACAAGCCCTCCCCACTCTACACCTCCTCTGAATATTTTTCATCTTTGTGTTGTATCCACACATTTCCTAGAATTATCTGAAATTCTGCTTGGTTAGTTTATAATAAAAATTGCATCCATATTATTGTGCGTTTATAATATCTGAATTAAGTTATTGCTTTTCACAAAAAATGTGAACGTTTACTTCAAGCCGAATCTACTGATTTATCAAAACTGTCGATTTCAATCCGACTAAACTGAGTGATTCAGCCTGAATTGGTCATTCACTTCATCACTTCATGGCTGTTTGTAGAACTTTGCTGTGGGTATATTGGCTGCCACATTTCCCCACAAAAAGTAACTTAATCCTATGTGCACTTTGAGACATCCTCTCACTGTGAAAAGCTCTAAATCAATATTAATAATCCTTACGTTTGGTGTAGCACCATCAAACGTAAAGATTATTATTATCATCACTATGAAGCACCTCAGCATGATACTGAAAGTCCGTTGTGTGCACGTTCACAGGCAAAAGGCAAAGAGCGGCAGTGGCTCAGAAACCAGGCTATCGGGGAGCTGGACGACACCAAAATAATCGATGGGCTGACAGGCGAAAAAGCGATTTATAAACGTCGGGGAGAGCTGGAGCCTGAAGTGAGTATTAGCAAAATATTGTCGGAGAGAAAGAGGGAGGAAAGAGGAAAAACTGTCCGTGTGAAAGCTGGAGAATCATGGAGCCCAAGCATTCATCTTTCCCAACTGTTCCTGGTTATATTTCTGACACCAGTTGAATAATATGGCAGATATCATAATGTTGAAAAAGCTGCTCAAAAGAAAAAATCTAAGCAATCCATTTACTCAAATCTAAGGCAGTGTTTTTTCATTACCAAAATCCCCAAATCAAGATGTGCCTTAGATTCAATCAAGTAATAAAAACACATCCTGGTGTATGTCCTGAAATTGCCTACAGCTTTAAACCCGGTCTTTTTGTTCTGCCAACTTGGTACATCTGAAAGCATTGTTCTGGGTTTCCTTTTTTTTCTCCCATTCCCATTGAAAATCTCCTATTCATCTATAAGTTACCCTCTGAGAAATTCTCCTTTCAAGACTGAAGAGCCCTAGCTGGTCTAAAAGTTGCTCATGGCTCATTCCTCTAACACTGGGGATAATCATGTTGCTCTCTTGGGCCTCTGCGTGGCCTCTAGGCCTGGGCAGCTGACAGCTTTTTGAGAAGACATCCTTGAAAAAAAACATTTTCTGCACCGTTCCTTAATTATTGCCAGCGATATTTAAGGAAAAGAATGCGTTTAGACATACTTCAATTTTGACCCAATTTTGACTCATTGAAATTTATACATTGGCTTTGAAACCGGTAACTTCAACCCCACCTCCGCACCCCAAGGTGATCTGGCACAGCTCCAGGTTGTCACACTGGATACATTCCAGGGAAATAGCCCGGCAGTGCTGGCCGCCAACTGGAGATCAGCTTTAGACATCAACCCAAATTTTAGTTGCTACACTTTGTAGACTGGCGGAGCGGAGGTGACTTGAAACTGTTCAAATAAAAGTTGCAGCAATCTGCCAGATTGTTTTGTGCTTAGATTCATTTTGCACCTTTCCGAGAAAAAAGTTGCAGCTTTTCCGAGAAGAATGTGTTCTTCGGGCTGCCCCACTTCAGTGACTAGTTGATTCTTTGGTGAGTGTTGTGCCGTCTGCCACAACATTCTGCTGTTCTCCCATTCATTGTCACCATGAGCTGGCCTGAAGAGTATCCAATTCTGGTTGTCAATCAAATTCGTGCAGGCAAGAGTCCCAAATACGACAGGCACTGACCTCTAACTGGTGATTTGGCTTGCTGCAAGCTTGGTATGGCGGGGTGGGGGTGTGTGTGTGAGAGAGAAAGAGAGAGAGAGAGAGAGAGAGAGAGAGAGAGAAAAGAAGGTAAGCAGGGTCTTCCTTGGGCCTGAGCTGGCTCCAAGTTGACGTACCTGGAATCAAGTCAACCCTCCTTGGCGATTGTGGTAATCCAGCAAGTCTCCAGAACTAGCTTGTCAGCATGACTTGGAGGGTCAGACCAGTAACTGAGAGCAGAGATTCTTCCCATTTGGCTCCAATTAAACCTGCAAACCAAAAGCCCTACAGGTAAGAGCTGGATAACAACAACAACAACAAAATTACATTTGTATTGCATCTTTCACATCGGGACGACGTCCCAAGGTGCTGGACAGTCAGAGTTTCGGAACCGACCTGGGGGTCGGGATCAGGGAGGGTGGAGGGCAGGGGGGGAAGCAGGGAGATTGAAAGCACGGTCGAAGAGGAGGGTCTTAAGTTGGGTCTTGAAGGAGACAAGGGAGGAGGCGAGGCAGGATGAAGTTCCAGAGGGTGAGGACAGAGTGGGAGAAGGTCCGCCTGCCAATAGTGGGGCAAGCAAGGCGGGGGATATGAAGCAGGCCAAATCCCGCTGAGCAGAGGGAGCGAACAGGATGGGAGGGGGTTAGGAGGTTGCAGAGGTAGGTGGGAGCAAGACCATGGAGGGCTTTGAAGGTGAGGACCAGGATCTTGAACTGTATCCTCTGAGTGATGGGAAGCCAGTGGAGTCGGGCGAGGATGGGGGTGATAGGGTCACAGAGCCTGGTGCGGGAGAGGACACGGGCTGCAGAGTTCTGGATAATCTACAGCCTGTGGAGGGAGGAGTTGGGGAGGCCGACAAGCAGGGAGTTTGCATAGTCAAGCCTCGATGCAATGAAATCATGTATGAGGGTTCGGCGGCCTGTGAAGTAAGACAGTGCCAAAGCCGGGCAATGTTGCGGAGGTGGGGGAAGGCAGAGCGGGTCATGGCACAGATGTGGGGTAGAAAGGATAGTTGATGGTCAAACAAGACGCCAAGGTTCCGGACTGGCTTAGCAAGGTGGAGTGTGCAACCATGGATGGTGATGCTGTCAGCGCCTGAGATGTGGAGGTGCTAACAGGAGCCGCAACCGGAAGCAGCAAGAAGCTAACCACACTGCTCTCGGTGGAAAGCTAAGCAGTTTTATCTATTGCAAAATCAAGGTTGCAATTAAAATTTGCTAAGTTTTGGATGTTCTGAAACGCAACTAAACAGAGTAAATCTAGAGCCAGGTGGATTTTCTCCCCACACATCTGTAAAGTCACGACTCTTAGTGGCAAAGCTGAAGCTTTCACCCTAGAAAAAGGATAGAGTGAAATTTAACAGAGTCAGATATAGAATGTTACTATTTTAGAAGGAAGCCATCATTGACTGAGCCTGAAAGAACCACTATTTTGTGCCACATTTTGGCTTTTATGTTTTTCCTTTTCAAAAGTTTATTATTGATTCTGCTTCAACCACTGATTTTGGCAGGGCATTCCATGAACTAATAACCCTCCTGCATTTATAACCACTTAAACTCTCCCCTTTTCATGATCCCAGGAGGCAGTTAAAAGACATGATAAAAGGAACAGTCAAATATGTTCCTGTACATTTTATTTCATATAAAAAATCTTAGATCATGTTTATTCCTGCTAACTGCATTCTTTAGTGGTGAACACTATTTACTGTCTGGTTTCTTTGACTTGATGTGTTACTCCCTCCGCTCTGCTGTGAGTTCCTTTGGAGACCAAGGCTCAAAGCTCCTGCCCCTCTGTGCCTGACAGCCCGGCCCCTGGTGTTACACCAAATCATTGCGTTCCTTGCAACTTTGAAGTTGAAGCCCTGAAGAAACTAGTCATACTGCGAGTGAAACGCCAGGCAAAACTGAACAGTTTTTAAAGAAAAATGACTTATTTGACAAGGAACCCCATGAGTGCTACCCTTGGCCACTTCCCACATGGAGAGAGAAACAAGTCATCAATAGTTATTACATCACCCACTGGTACTCCCCCAGGTCACATTTGTTCCACTGGCAGTGAAACAATATCAATTCAGACAGCAGAGTGATATGCAATGGAAATATCCCCATCACACTGAGCTCTTACAAAGTAACACAGCAGACACTTCCCATCGCTGGGTAGGGCTATTTGCACAGAGACATTAAAAGTACTTCCGGACAACACAAACTACAGTCCGTTCATTCATAAGGAGTAAATGATCACTTAAACTGTGCATAAATTAAACTCAACTGTCCTGCTCCACGTCCCCCGACCCACCCGCCCCACCATTCAGCCACTCTGCCCCTAACCTCTGGAATTCCATCCCCCAGTCACTCCACCTCGCCCCCTCCTTAAGCCTCCTTCAAGTCCCGCCTCAAGAACCTCCTCTTCAACCATGCCATCGACCACCCCCCTTCGCCTCCCCCCCCAACCCCAGCTCGGGTCTGAAATGCTGTACTCTGTCCAGCACCTTGGGAAGTCCTCCCGACGTAAGACGCACTATACAAATGTAATCTTGTTGTTATTGTTGTTGTAAACACTTTCCAAAACAGCCACAAAATCAGACAGTCTTTTCAACCGCAGTTATTTTACTCAGCTTGGTCCACCCCTGGAGTCACTCTGCTCGTTACCAATTTCCTCTTCTGACTCATAACCAAACTCCATCCAAACAGGTAGTAATTTTGTTGTTGTTGTAGTAGTAGTAGTCTGGCGAGCAGAGAGTTGGCATAATCTAGTCTGAACATGATAAATGCATAGATTGGGGTTGTAGTGGCCTGAGGGGAGAGGTCAGGGCTAAAGTAGGCACCGTTATGGAAGTGGGGAGAAGCTGTGCGGGACCGAGCATGAATATTTAATAAATATAGCAATATTTAACGTACACATATATCATGTGCAGTTGTATATTTTCAGACGATTTGGTGTCATGCAAATGCCAGTGCCCTGTTTTCTTCATCTGGCCTCAGGTACATTGAATGAATTTGTACTGTTGCTCCAGGTTGGTAGCCCACAAGAGAAGCCAAAGCGCTTGCGCTTGGTCGTAGACGTGTCTGGCAGCATGTACCGCTTCAATGGAGTGGACGGCAGGTTGGAGCGCTCCATGGAGGCTGTCTGTATGGTGCTCGAAGCCTTCGAAAACTACGAAAACAAGTTGAAGGTAAAGATCCTTTTTTAAACACAAGCACCTGGCTTGTTGGTTTGTAAATGTTTGCCAAAAGAAGATCTCCCAAGCTTCTTTCCTGAATGTGACTTGGCTTGTTTTCCCTTACACTCATTCTTTATATGAGATATGATAAGGCGTTGAGTCCTGTAGCTCAGTGGTTAGAGCACTCGCCTTGCAAGTGAGAGACTTGTGTTAGATTCCCGGCAGGGCGCAACCTTGGGCAAGTTTCCTTACTCCACAAGCCTGATAATAATCCCTCAAGAAAAAAAACAATAATAAATTGGTCACTTCAACCCACGACTGTTTGTGGGGACGCTGCTGTGCGCAATTGGCTGCCGCGTTTCGCCCACAAATATACAGTCAATTCATTTTGCAGTATATTCTGTGAAGCACTTTGAGACACCTGGAAGACGTGAAAAGTGCTATATCAAATGCAAGGATTATTATTTTATTATCAAATGCAAGGATTATTATTTTATTATTATCAAATGCAAGGATTATTATATACTGAGGAGCAATTCCATGAAATCCAGAGGAAATCCTCACGTCAACTATATTGACCTGAGGATTTCTGAGATAAAAGGGGGTGGTTCCCCCCCTCCACAGCTTGAGATAATGATTGAACTCGAGGATTCTCCATTTTTCTTTGTCGTTCTGACAGTGGAGGTTGTTTGAGTGCATCTAAACCTAAATCAGTCAGTATCATGAGCAGCAGAGTTCAAATGCTGCTTCCAGGTCTGAAAAACAATCTCGGATCCTCTGAAGCGAAAGCAAGAAGGCCAAAGATCGGAAATTTGTGAAATGTTAAATCATGTGATTATCGAACACCTTATCATCAAATCTGTTATAAAATGTCGCATTTTTCGCTCCATCGCCCAGCATATGCATTACAGCAAACTCTTCAAAGAGGACATGAGCAGGATTTGTTTTCAACTCGCCACCAAATAAACAGAAATATAGTGAGACAAAGATAAAAGGTCAGGAACAAAGTCATCTGATGTTCTGCCACAACCATGGTCCTCCACCAACATTTAGATACCATTCAACAAGTGGTGAGATCAACATTGAAAAGAGACATATGAAAAGAAACTGTACAGAGATACTTGATACTAAATGGGATAAAGTTAACTCAGAACAATACTTTGATACACCAAGGCTGTAGGACAAGTGCGCACTGGTTCAGAGTCACAATGGTAAATTTTAGAACAGATTCTGGGAAATATTAGCCAATATTAGCACTAGCTTTGTGCCCCTTTCAGAATATTTATAAGGATGGATACTGTGGGCAACGGAACTGTTTTCCCATTGCAGTAGAAGAAGAGCTGCTCTGCGCTTAGGGCTGAGATGTGTTTCCAGAAGAACCCAATTCATTTAAACATGTCTGGGATGTGCTCCATATGTAAGTTATACAAATGATAGCTGTTTGTAGAAGGTGTACCTTAATTGTGTCACCGGGAAACACAAGATTTCTCAGAACATGCCCTCCCACACACAAGCACAGACACAGACATTTTCTCATCATGTATTAATGTGACCACATTACATTATACACCCAGAAAGGAAATACTGTGAGTAAACACTCTGCCCTGCACCCACAAATTATACGTAGGGAATCTTCTCAATGCCACTGAACTCTGTGCAGCACACAATCACAAGGGAGATCTGGATGAAGAAGGCCCTTCTACACACTGACAGTAGAGGCTTTCACTGAGTGAGAACACCATTTCCATGTGGAATTTAGCATAGTTTTTCAAAGAACTGGCAGTGGGCCAGCAACAGATTTAGAATAAAGCATTCAGACAAAAGAAGCCATTAATCCACTTCATCAGTTTGTTAAAGAGTATTTCTCTCAATGTAGTCCAACATGAGCTGTATTTATCACAAACTCCCAGCCCCCACTGCAACACACACAAAAACGTTTTGCATGGGATGTTCACAGCACATTCCGAATCAGAGAACAAAATCATATTATTGTACTGAACTATATTTATATGAGAGAAATTCACTTTGAAGAATTGCAGTATTAATACTGAGGATTGGAATTTTGTGGAAATGTCCTGAACAATTCCTAACTGTGCTCTGTAAAGGTTTCTCACACTGTTGGTCTGAGATTCAATCTAAATCATTTCTTTACTAGTTCCTTGCTATTGATGCAAAGTCTCAGCTTTTAGTAATACCAGAAATCCTTGTATTTGTTATAGTGTCTTATCATTGACACTGAAACATCTCAAAGCGGGCAGTTGTAAACAAAATTAAACATAAGTTTTTAATGTTAAAGATTCTACTGCATGTTGAGGTGTGGTCCGCTTGAGCTTAGCTCCCATTAGTCCTCCAATGACCTACTTTCCATTACAACAGCAAATTACATTCAGTGCCTCTTGTACAAAGTAAGTGTCTTCATGCACTTTACAGGATGCAATTGATTGGAAATGAAATTAATTTAGTGTAAACAAACTTGACAGCTTACTTGCACCAGAGATGGCCTAAAAACAAGTCTGTGCTGGCTCCCTCAAGAGCAATCCTTTCAGGCCTATTTACCTACCCTTTCCCCACACCCCTGAACCTGATTTTTTTAAAGCTATTTGGCTGGTTCCATCTTGAAGGTCAATATGGATTCTGCCTCAACCACCACTCCTGGCAGGGCATTCCATATCCTAATTATTCTGAGTGTGAAAACATTTCTCCTAACCATTTGCTCATTTCCCAGCTGTCTTTTCTGTTCACTTGTTTGTTTACTTCACATAAAAAATCTTTTTGATGAAATGAAGATGTTACAGAGAGTAAAATACAGTGAGGAAGGATCAGTGTCATAATGTGGCACTGCTTTATACAATATGTCATAATAATAATAATAATAATAGTCCTTGCATTTGATATAGCACTTTTCACGTCTTCAAGACAACTCAAAGCTCTTCACAGAAAATACTGTAAAGTGAATTAACTGTATATTTGTGGGCGAAAAGCGGAAGCAAATTGCGCACAGCAGTGTCCCACAAACAGTCGTGGATTGAGTGACCAAATTATTGATGTTTTGGTTTTTTTTTCTTGAGGATTTATTATCAGGTATGCGGAGTAAGAAAACTTGCCCATGGTTTCGCCCTGCCGGGAATCAAATCCAGGTCTCTCACTTGCGAGGCAATAGGAATGATTCTCATCTAAATTGAACTTGTGATATGACCATATGACAGGGACAGCCAGCACTAATACAGGATCTTGTTTTTCTCTTCAGTACGACATTGTTGGCCACTCTGGAGATGGATTCAACATCGAGCTGGTCAGGAGTGACAAGATTCCAAAGGACAACAAGCAGCGTCTACAGATTATTAAGGTAAACCTTTTGTTGTTTGCTTTTCCCTTTAATGGAGTTCCAGAGGGTGGGGGCAGAAGGCCAAAAGCCCTCCTGCTGATGGTGGGCCAGGTAGGGAAGGAGACATGAAACAGACTGAGCGAAGGTGCTCAGCGAAGGGAGCAGCTGGGTCTGCAGGGGTTCAAGAGATCGCAAACTATTGGGTGGGGTGAAGCCTGGGGGATGGCAGGGGCAGTTCAAACACAGACACATAATAGTACAACCTTCATCCTTCCCTAAATAAGGAAATAAACAGCAGAAAAATAAGGTCTGTCCTGGCGAACAGTCTGCATCAAACTGAATTACAACCAGACTGATATGGACATTTCAGGTGACGATGGATTTGCTGTGAATTTCCAGCAATTTCTAGTTGATTTTCCATTTCTTTGTTTCAATCTTCGAGACTCCTCAGTGTGCGTTTCTTCCAGACGATGCACGCCCACGCCCAGTTTTGTATGAGCGGTGACCACACCCTTGAAGGGACGGAACATGCCATTCGTGAGATTGCTCGAGAAGAGGCAGACGAGTATTTTGTGATTGTACTGAGCGATGCCAACCTGGAACGATACGGTATCAGTCCTGCAAGGTTTGCCCAAGTGTTAACTTGTAGCCCGCAGGTCCATGCCTTTGCTATCTTCATCGGATCCCTGGGTGATCAGGCAGAAAGGTACGTGCTCTAAAATGTCACTCTGCTATCAATTGTGGACTCCTGTAGCATATTGGTTAAAGCACCCGCCTCACAAGCGAGAGGACCCGGGTTCGATTCCCGGCAGGGCGAAACCTTAGGCAAGTTTCCTTACTCCACACTTAGGAATCCAGTTGTAAGTTGATTGGTGGATTGCTTTCCTGTGGTAAGAATCCCTTAAAAAAAATTGGTCACTCAATCCATGATCGTGGGTGGGACACTGCTGTGCGCTGCCGCGTTTCGCCCAAGAAATACACAGTCGCTACACTTTACAGTATATTCTGTGAAGCGCTTTGAGACGTCGCGAAGACATGATAAGATGATATATCAAATGCAAGGATTATTATCATTATTATTATCTCTATTATCTATTGTATTTTTTATTATTTTATCATTCAACTATATACACCAGATGTTCACGTCATGCACAATTAGACTCGCAAGTTATATCTTTATTGAAATCTGTTAAATAGATTTTTCTGTTTTGCTATTCTATATTTACTGGGTGGCGTTATTATAAATAACGAGAGCCAAATTCTCCCCCGCCAGTTCTATTGGATGTGACTCATTCTGGAGTATTGTTTTCTGACACCAATATCCCTCTGGTACCTCAAGTTAGTGAGAGAAAGCAGCAACTGTAGATGGAGCATTGAATAATAGCAAAACTGCTCCCGATGTCTATCCACACACTACCCAGGCCACGACTGTCCAGCGCCTTAGGACACCTTACCAACATGAAAGGCGGTGTATAAATGTAAATTTGTGTTGTTTTATCTAGCAGGAATCATTGGTTGTAATCACTATGGTTCTCTATTCTTGTGTCTTTGTGCACACACATCAGCTGTGCCCCATCACCATTGTCATACTGAGTGCCAAGATCTGCTTGCTTTATGCAGGGTCAGAATTCACTCATTCATTACATCATTGGGTTACTGTAGTTGATTGAGCCGCGCTGTGAAGCAACTTAGCTCCTTCCAGTCACCGACGCACCTCACATTTGACAATCTGAAAGATAGCATGGAATTCCCCTGGTGCTGAAAGCACTCGTCCTATCAATCCACCTCACCCCGTAACCCAGCATTACTTACAAGACTCAGTCACAGCTTTCCCAGTGGTCTTGTGTGCCTTTAAATTAAAGCCTTACTTTTTCAATAATAACAAGCAATAAAGTTTTGTGAAAGGAATCTTTTGGGAAGTTGAATTGGGAGTCTATTCTTGTCTGAAACTTACTACGGGGTAAAATCTGCAGTGCTTCTTATTTACTATTCCTTATTAACCCATTCCTTAGGTTAATTGTACAAGGAACAAGTTAAAAAGCAATACAAATTTTACTATTTTGCTATTAGGAGTAGGAGTCCTGTAGCTCAGTGGTTAGAGCACTTGCCTCGCAAGCGAGAGACCTGGGTTCAGTTCCCGGCAGGGCGAAACCTTGGGCAAGCTTCCTTACTCCACAAGCCTAATAATAATCCCTCACGAAAAAAGAGACCGTAATAAAATTGGTCAGTTCAGTCCACGACTGTTTGTGGGACACTGCTGTGCGCAATTGGCTGCCGCGTTTTGCCCGCAAATATACAGTCAATTCACTTTACAGCATATTCTGTGAAGCGCTTTGAAACGTCTAGAAGACATGAAAAGCGCTATATCAAATGCAAGGATTATTATTATTACTTTCTAATAAATATACTATCTAATCTTACTATTTAGAACATCGCTTTCAAAAGGTAACTTACTCCACTTTGATACATAGATAGAACTATATGTTACTATATGCTGACTAAAGAGCATGAAAGACCCATACAGAATGGTATAATAAACCATATAATAAATATATAACAAATATTTATAATATTTATAATTATATAAATACACAGTCAATCGACTTTACAGTGCATCCTGTGATGCGCTTTGAGATGTCTCGACGACACGATAAGGCGCTATATCAAAAGCAAGGATTATTATTATGAAAATACAGCAAGCATTATCAATTTTTAAATGTCTAAATTAATAGCTCTCAACTGTTTGAAGGATCAGGCTGAGTTCAGAGATTTGCAGATGGCCCAATACCCTCACATTCTTTCAAGTTTTGTTTCCAGAATCGCTACATGCAGTGTGAAGCGAACGCTGTGCTTTAAACAGTGTCTAACTTCATTCATGCAAAGTTGCAGCTTGCCTTTGTTGAGCTGAGCCGTGAAGAGTGATTTCTGAATGCCAGCCCCCATAGAAGAAAACTAGTTGCGCTTCTCAAAAAAGAACCCAGCATTCATACCACTTTCAGTGCTTCCTCCCACCGGCCCTTTCCCATGCTACTGGTCATGTCATAATGTGTGGAAGAATGGTGTGTATTGTTAACTTATTCAGCAACAAAAACTTCCTTTTTTTAAAAAAAAGCTTTCAAAGCTCTTTGGCTTTTACCCGGACGGATGGACCATGTAATTTGCAATGTTAATTTGCTTTGAACTGCAGGCTCCAGAGGACTCTACCGGCTGGGCGGTCATTTGTTGCCATGGACACCAAGCAGATCCCACAGATTCTACAGCAGATCTTCACGTCCACTATGTTGTCCACTGCTTAAGCGCTGTCGCAGTGGAAGTGGTCTGTGCATGGGACTCGCCCGAGGAGGGGGAGGGAAGGGCGAAAAAAGAACAAGATTGGTTTACATGTATATTCAGTTAGTAGGTCTCTGCTGGGCGTCCATGCAATGACCCTGTGACCCTCAATGACCTTCGCTTGCAAGCCCTCAGTGGGATGACAGGGATAGCTTGGAACGTCGGGATGGCGACCTCATCAGCCTCCGCCACCACACGTTTTCACGGTGAGGAGTGGATTCTGAAGCTGCTCAAAGTATGGCACCAGGGCACAAAGCAGCAGCCTTCATCTTCTTCACACGTTAGCCTTTAACTAATATTCTTTACACTTTGATTTTGTACCCTTACAAACTGAATGTTTAAATGTAAGAGTACACTTGCAATAAACAGGAGCATGATTAAAATCACAGTTTTACACCACTAAATCTAGTCACCAGGACAGGTGGATTTCAAGCCCTTATTCTGATTGCTAAATCAATCCCATTTATCGTAAATGATTTTAAGTAAGGTATTCCAAAAGTTAATGGGTTCTTGAGAAACGCTGTGAATTTTGGGACCATCCCCGTTACTAGGTGCAATGAGAATAATTATTCAAGAGGATTATCCTTTTTGAATGGGATTCTTTGATGAAGGTTGGAGCATCTGTCAATAAGTGAGGTGCTTTCAGTCCAGTGAGTCTGAGTTTCTCAGAAGAGATACTGTGGCTTTTACCAAAAGGCACTGTTACTGATGTCATTAGCCCTTTGAAACCCCATGTAATAGAAAAAGCTTCAGACAGTCCTGTTTATTTATCCAGTGTTTAATTCTGTCTTCTTGTGAATCACACAGTTCTGTCTCTCTTCTACGTGTTTCCAGTTACTAAAGCCAAACTACAATTAACCCAGAATTAAACATTGTTCGGTAATTAATCAGCAGTTATTGGCAGAAATGTACATTTCTGATTTGTGAAAAAAATTCCAAGGCAGATTGCTAAATCTATTCAATTTCTCTTAAGCAATATTAAAATGTATTAGTGATAATCGTCTGATTTCCAAGTATCTCCTGTCTGTGATACAAATAGTAAAATAGTAAGACTGAGAACAAAAGAGAAATGAAAGCTGCCGAGCACATATTGGTCAAAGTCAAAGACCGGATGGTCATCACCGCGCATCACTGAAAGGTTAGAAGAATCCTGAAAAATAAAACATTACTCAAAAAGCACCTGGAAACAAGTTTTAAAGGAGAAGACAACTGTGCTAGCACCCAGCGTGTTCAGCTTTCATCTTTGCTGATTTGTTCCACGTTTTCTTTTCAGATTATCTATACTCACACACCTGCTCTGTGGAGCCCTGTATCATCCACCTTGTCCACAATAGAGAATCCATGTCAGTGAGATGTCAGTGACTGTGCTTTGTTCTCATTGCCACTGGTGCTGATGTGTTTATATATTGTATATAATATAGTTTATCTTTAGCAATGCAAAACACAACAAATGCACAGGAGAATGTGAAAGATTCTAGCAATCTTTCTGTAAGAAGACTAAAGATGTAAATGGTGATTGTTCTAAATATTGTAAACTGGTAAACAAATGTAAACAGTAAATTAGCCTAAAGATGATTTGATTTGTAACAGGATTCCCACAATAAAATTCAACATATTTATCAAGCGTTAAGTGATTTCAGTGACTGACTGCAGTGAATTAAGTGGCTAACTTGAGTGATTTCAGTGACAGTATTGATGTCAGTCACTGCAGTGAGTTGAGCCAAGTTCTAGTTTCTTTTCTAGTCTGGAGCCAGTGGTCAGGTTATTTCTAGCGATGTCATTTTAATCCAGATATTACCTTACACTTGTAAATGTTCCTGTGTGACTCTTTTTCTCTGTTTTGCCCCTCGATATTTAAGTTCTAGTCACAGTTTGTTACTAAGTCATCTCGATGCAAACAGCCTGCAGCTGTGCTTCTCACACATGTCAATTTTTAAAAATATACAACTGAAAAGAAAGACTCAGGTGGGTCCTTCACTATGGATACAAACCCTGGTTTGTGGAGTTAGCTCATCCCAGTGGTATGAGCCGGGGTGGGGGGGGAGGGTGCTGGGCGGAGGCTGTTTGTGTTACAGTCGACCAGTGCCCTTGGGCTATGGAGGTTAGAAAAAACATCCAAAGTTCCTGCTTTTGAGTGCTCCGAGACCCTGCCCCATGCAAGTGCCAGTTACTGTATAATAAGGCTCATCGTCATCCCATTAAAATCGGTTATGCAGAACATGACAAATTGTATTTTGGACTTAGTTAAATCCCTCAAAACGTTATTCACAGTTGTGCATTGGTGTTGTTTACCACAGTGGGAAGCCTATGATGCTAAATGGCACTCAGCCTGTCTGTTTTTCTTATACAAAATGTCCTAGGTAAATTGGAGTGAATTCTCTAGTTTTTAGAAAAAACGAGAAATCCAGGCCATTCTTGCTCAGATTTGGGAACGCACTCCAAATCAATCCATTTTCAAAATGAAAATGAAGTTCCCTTGAGTCAATGTGATGTGCAGCTGGTTAGCAGAGACATTTGATGTCTCTGCTAACCATCTTAATTAAGAAATATTGCAAAATTGACCCCAATGAGTGTGTTTTTCAAGCGTGTTTAAAGTTGCTGATTGGGGGCTGTGAAAGCATTCACAGCAAAACTTCAGAACATTCCCAGCGAAAATAACAAGGATAAGACTGCTATGAATGTAGATGTAACCAAAGACCACGTGACATCATCGGTATCACTTCCACGGTAAAAATAACCGATAGAAAACTGAGACCACACATGTAGGGGACGAATAGATTCTTGACTTGGTCAGTAACTCTAACATGAAGCTGTCTCTAAAATTCTAGTTTCTGCCTGGGGTCCTCCGCATACAATCACAGAAGATAAATAAACACATTGTCCGTATCAACCATTGATTCACATGTTGCTTTTCCAGCCTGTTACAGGATCTGTTGTTCACGTTTAGCTCCTAGATACTGAAGCCAATGGGCCTTATTCACGATAGTCTCAAGTTCATTTGTAACTGGTGAGTTCCTAAAAGTACCCAGAATGTTGGGCTCCAAAGGGTGAATAGGGAGGTTCACTAGCTGAACATCTCCCTCTGTCAGGAATCTCCCTACGACTTACTGCTTTACTCAACAGTAACAGCTTCACATTGTATGTCATCTCTGAGCGTCTTACATTGGTGTAGCACAAGAGGGAAGGGATGAGGGAAGCAGGTGAGCAAAGGCATGGTTGAAGAGAAAATTTTAAGGGGAGACACAGGGTTGAAGTTCCAGAGATTAGGGCCGTAGAATTGTATAGCTTGGCCACCAGTGGTGGTGTAGATAGGGCAGGGGATACACAGCAAGCCCAAGATAGAGAGGCGAGCAGAGAGAGGAAGGTGCTGAGTGTGAGGGAATTATAGATGATAGTGAAGAGCTTGAAATGAATCGGCTGTGAGACAGGGACCCAGTGGAGCCTGGCGAGGACTGGGGTGATGGACATACTGAGCTTGATGTGAGGATATGGCAGTGGAATTAACCTATCTTTCTGGTTCAGATGCTATTAGACTTTGGGGGGAAAGTTACCAGCATTTTCTGTTTGAATCTTATATTCTTTTGTTTTACACTCCACCTCACTCTATTTTCACCAACAGTTTGCTGTATGCAAACTGGCTGCCATCAGCCAATTCAATTTACAGTAGATCACATGAAGCGCTTTGAGATGCCCCGGTGACGTGATAAGGTGCTGTACCAGATGCAAGGATTATTAGTATTACTCTCACACCTCTCATTTCATTCTCACTCCTCTCTACTCTCATTTCACTCGCTCTCTCCTTTAATTTCTCTTTCATTTATTATGCCTCATTTCACTCTTACTTCCAACCCCGCATTTCACTATCCCTCCTCTCCTTTTCACAATAAACTTCCATTCACAACAATCCACAATCTGTTGGTGGCCTTCCCTGCCTCTCAATGCAATCACATTGTAAATACTTCTCAAATTTTAGGTAATATATTATTAGAGGATTCTTGACTTGTTCTCCACAATGTTTCACTATTGATACAATTAACCTATCGTTCTGGTTCAGATGTTACTTAACCTTTGGGGGATTTCCAGTACTGTACTTTCTGTTTTCATTTCAGATTTTCAGCATCTGCATTTTTTTTTTGTTTTACTGTTTCTTCCACTCCTTCAAATCCTCTAATAATGTATTTTTAAAGAAAATAGTTTGTTTCTGCTCTGTGGTGTTTCTGCCAGTCGAGAATAGTAGAGCTGCTTCTAAAGCAGCAAAATACAACAGAAATTACTACAGGATGATCTATAGCAGACCAGAGAGATATAAACAGTGATTGCCCCCAGAGATCATTGATAGGGCCATTATTCTTCTATATTTACATATATTTAGGTCAGCCGAGTGTCTGACACGTGTGAAAACCCATTACTAGTATCCAAACCAGATTTAAGAGTTTCACGTCTGCATACCACTTCCACGAGGAACCTTCCCTGTGTCTGGTATGCTGTGCACACACTCTGGAGGGACATACCCTGCTTATCTAATTCCAAAAGTATTAGGAGAGGTTGTCAAAAGCCAAGGCTTGGAGACGCCAGAGTCTACATTGGGGTAATGCTGGAGTTTAACTAACCACAGCTGTAGAGCTTGCTATTATGAGCACAGTTTGGCAAGCTTGGTCCAGCTTTAACAGTTAATCCTATGAAGCACGTTGAGGAAATAATAATAATAATAATAATAAACCTTGCATTTGATATAGCGCCTTATCACGTCTTCGAGGCGTCTCAAAACCCTACACAGAATATACTGTGGGCAAAATGCAGCAGCCACTTTCGCACAGCAGTGTTCCACGAACAGTCGTAGAGATTGAGTGACCAAATTATCATTTAAATATTGTTACATGTAACATGATGTAACAAGAACAGGGACGATTGACATGATTGAGTGGTTCAAAATTGTTAGGCTATTTGATAAGGTAAATTAGGAAGAAACTATTCCACTCGTTAGTAAATTGTGAGGTTGTGAGTAAATTGGTAACTAGTCGACATAAATTAAAAATTATAGTAACATAGCATAAAGCATTGGGTTAACCACAAATGTTGAGTTGAAATGCTATAATTTTTCATGTGTGCCCAGCAACTCTTATTCCATTCGTTTCATGTCTTTCTAATCCCTTCTATAATAAAATCTTGGTGTTTCTAACGGTTTACTTTTAGGAACTGATGAACATCGAAATATCCTCCATCGGCTGGATTTTGTTTGTTACTAAACATTATCTCATTAACACGAGGTTCAGGGTGTCAAAAATACCTTGCACCAAATATATATTAAAGATATGACAGACTTGGGTTATTTGTCATCACCTATTGGGATGGAGCTGACACTCTGCTCATTCCATTCTGTCCGTGTGTCTCCACAACTCTCAGCTCCAAAGACACTGACTGTTCATTTATCTTAATCTTATCTTCTTACCGACTACTTATTTGAACTATTTTTAGTGGGTGGGTGGGAGGGAGGGAGTCATATATTGCATGCGTGTTCATATGCGTTGTTGCACGCATTACAGTGCAGTTGACATCAGCAGATTCAACTGTTCATGTGATTATTTCATAACTTTTTTCATAATATCTTTTATTTGACCCTTTTTTCACTGAAATATTCCACTGAGTCTTTTTCAAATGGTATTTTAAAGCATTAATAGAGGGAACCCTGAGAAGGTAGCTATATTCTGATGTCCATAAAGATACTCCAAGTTTAGGAATAGACTTGTTTAACGTGAAGATTAGGTATTGCAGTTCACTCTTCTGCTGCGTGGGAAGTAGCTGAACTGAAAGGGACAGAGTCTATAGAGCTTTCTCTTTATATTAAAGCAATCCTATTTAACCCATTGAGAGCAACATCAGCCATTTGAACCTACAACATAATTTGCTTCAAAAGCTTAAATTGCTGAGATATTTAATGAATAGCTTTATTATCTGCCTTACACTTATCTCTAAGGCAAGCTGGTATTATGTGGGGTTATAGTGCACAGAAGGCAGTGAGCTCTCCTGTAATTTCCTATGAAAGAGCCTGATCGAAATGGGGATCTCCAAACCACAAAAGAAACATTCGCTTTAGATGCCACATTATAGAGACTGCATCGTGCAAGATTGTCAAAGAAATCTTGCTCTGTACCAAGAAGAGGGAATGAATTACTGCGGAGATAAAGTAAAGCTAATCTTCAGTCATGCAATCTCAAGATTCAGATGATGGCTATAAAGTGCTCATATCTTGCATTCGTATTACCTGAATCAATTGAATGTTTTTCTGATTTGCAGTTAAGATGTAGCCAGTTCCTCTATTTCTGTAGACGTTATGGATGTAACATATGTTCTGATTTTGCAGGTGTAAAATATTCTACCAGTTAATTTATTGCAGAAGTTAACAGAAAGGCCATTTGGGATTCCTCTGGACTTCTGACTGTTGAATCTCTTGAACAAACAGAAAAGCTTAAATTGATTTATTCACTGGTAAGGCAGTATTACAATAATCTCCCTAAGAAACAGGATTTGGCCTATTGTTTGAGGGAGCGCAAATAGGATGTGATAAGAGAAACGGAATGAGTCTACCAAAGTGACACCAGCATTCACATGGGAGCTTTGAGCCTT